GTGAGACCCCAGGGTCAAGAAATTCACAATTTTGGTAAAGCACCTGAAGACCCTTCCATCTATGAAGAGTATTTGATTCTACCATATCTGGGTCTTGAGAAGAAGATTTTTGAAATTTTAGTCAATTTGACCCTTTTTGGCCCCGCCCCTCAGCCCCCTGGGGGCTGGGGACCAAACCGGCCACTATTTTTGTTGACCTTTGGCCATGGAAGGTTTCTGCAAAATTTCATTGAAATTGTTTCTGGGGTTTTGGAGAAGAAGTCGAAAATGTAAATTGATTACGGACGCACACCGGACGACACCGGACAAAAGGCGATCGCAATAGGTCACTTGAGACTTTGTTGTGACCTTATAAAATGGAACAAAAATTGAGGTCACAGCAGAGTTGAAGTGTCATAATACAAATTTCAACAAATTTCAGACAATACCTAAATTTTGACCAATCATATGCCAGGCCATGGTAGCCATCTTATCCAATAGGAAAATGAGAGTTTTGGCAGTGTTCACTGTGCCATACAACTCAAAGATAAACTTTGTGGAAATCCAACATCTTTTTATACATCTCATTCTGTGTGTATTAGTCCACACGTCCTTAGCAAGACAAAAAGTGTCTTGTATTTCTTCGTTTCTACCTTATACTGAATTATAGCAATACAAGTTCTAACGGTAGCTACGGCTGAGTAACTGTTGTTGTTATCATTCTTATTTCTAAATGTGAATATTATCTATTTAACAGTGAACTAAGGACCTGTGTAGTTTGTAAAATGAAGTAGTACAGTAGTCTAATGGTAGGACACGGGCTCGAACCCTGTAATAGAACTGGTGTTTTATCCTTGAGCAAGATACTTTACTCCGCTTGCTCCAGTCTACTCAGCTGTAAATTAGTACGTGGTTGGGCAGTGCTGGAATTGTTGAATGCTAGCTGTGAGCGCCGAAATGGCAGCACTGGCTGTATGCTCCCCAGGGAGATATTGGCTGGTTGCAAAGGCCCAGTAATCACATAATAATTTGAGATGACCTAGGTAGTGATAAAGCGGTATATTAGAACCCTGAATTATCATTATTACATGTATTATCAAACCTACTTCCAGAGATAAGGCGTAGGAAGAAGTCTGACACTGGATTTCCTCGATCTCCTCGTCTTTCCTGGCCAGGCCCTGGGTAAGGAGTTCCTGCTCACTTTTGTACTGTTGCACTTCTGTACAGATATCTATGCATTTCTTTTCCAGGTTTTTCTGAAAGGTCACAAGAAAAATTGTTTTTAAATGGTAGAGTTTGCAGTTTCAGAAAGGGAATTGCTGGTAGGGGCATGACTTACAATGGAGTCTTTGGTGAGAGCCACACATGTGTAAATAATTAGTATAACACTCAAAAATAGATCAGGGTTGTACCAATATTTTCCAACAAAATTCATTATTGTTTGAATTGGATGATATAGGTTTTTATTTGAGAAAATGTGTAACTTTTCAGCAGACGCTCTTTTAAAAACAAAATTTCACTGCTCGGAATCCAATCTCATTCTTTCAAAACCCAAATTTCACTCTGTTCTTTAAGTGAAGATTGACAGGAATGGAACCTCTGTCATGCATATATATATATATAATTTTGGTACGTTCAGCCTTGGTCAAGTAATAAATGCTTTTACAGGTGGTCATATCATACAGTATGCTGTTAAAATTAAATCTACATAACAACACTTGTTCATATCCTGAAGGGGATCATTCACTTCAGACCTGTTCAATATCAGACAACTACTTCTGGGTTTAAAACTAACAAAAAATAAACCAAAAACTTATTCAGGACATATGTAAGATGATCTTAGACCTCAACGACTGTTTTTGAGAGAAAAAATATAATCAATGAATAATCTCTTTTTTTATCTACGTTAAACTTGACCTCTTATCCTTTTAATCACCCCAAAGTCCTGAATTGAAAAATGCTAAAAAAGCTTCATCCCAGATCAATGCTGTATTTTGAAATAGAAAAAATACAGAATTTAAGATTAAAACATAATTACAATTATTGTTTATGTTGAACTTTGACTCCAAGATGGGGTCTTCTTACTGCTCCACAGAACCAAATGAAAACATTGCTTCCCAAATGCAAGGCCATGCTTAAATATCATCTCAAAACTAAATATTGACTTATTCTGATATTTTATTATGAAATCCTCCTAATATTTGGAGATCTGATTCACCAATTAAAAAACCCCTCCAGGGTATCTTAATATCTGTACTCTTATCCAAGTCAAAATAAGTTGATAATTAGGTGCTACAAAGAAATAAAAGATGTTAAAATATAGATTAGAGGCAAAAGGCACTAATATGTTATGGCTAAAACTAAAATTAAAAAAATCCTTCAAAAATGCAAAATCATCGATCAATTACATTTTCCTCCAGCAGGTTGACAATCTGTATCTGTAAGTCAGCCATTTCCTCCGAATCAAAACTACGGGATGTAATATCTGCTGTCTGGTTCATTTTCCTCTCCATCAGTTCTTCTAACTGACTAATCTGGTCTCTCAGCTGACTCTCCACACTCCGGGACTGGTCTAGCTCTGACTGTATCTTACTGACCTATAATAGGGAAACGTTGTAGGTTAGGACATGACTGTAAATGGCTAAATCTCCTGTCCGATTTAATGATGTTAACTCATTCACCCCTGAAGACACATTTGAACCATTCCAATTCAAAGGTTGGAATAGTTCATTATGAAATTCCAGGGGTGAATGAGTTAAATACAAAATACTTCTATCATCATTTCCTGAGGACACACTATTGATTTATCCACCTCTAAGTTATTGTTAATATGCTGTTGTGGCCTTTTTGGTGTTGGGGCCGCAGTGTCTGAGTGGTAAAGGCATTTGACCATCTACAATCACTAGCCCTGCACCACTGGGTCCTGGGTTTGATGGCAACGTGAGGTGGTTGTCACCTTTTTGGTGTTGACTGCAGCTTTACATTCAATTTACTCCTATTTACTAATGATTGACTATTATATTTAGGAGGCACAATATAATACAAATTTTTAAATTAATTATTTTCTAAAAACTGTGTGCTATTTCATAGTAGATCATTGTGATGTGATCTTGTGACATTTTAGATGGATGCCATGTTCATTCGTCATGATTTACCAAAAGACATTTCAATTTTGAGGACACTTTATCACAATACATTCAAGTTTTTGAAACTGTCTATACACATCCCTGCTCCAGTAAATGTACTAACCAGTCGGACTTGCTGTTGCATTTTGCTTTTTTCTATTTCCATTTTTGTTTCCATGTCTTCATTGAGTCGAGTCATGTCACGCTTCATCTGGGCGATTTCCCCTTTGTACCATTTCTCTGTGTCTACTTTACTTTCTACTTTCAGCACCAGAGAGTATTTCTCCTGTTCCCATTCCTGTGAATAAAAGGTATCAGATTGTCAGAGGTCACGAAGCATTATATATATTGTATACATGTACATTTTGTAAGCACCTTTATTAGTTTCTTTTGACAAAAATAAACTTGTTTTCCTGTCAAATATGTTTATTGGGTGATGAATAAAATATTTTGCCATAAATATGATAACATTCAATTGAGATGTTGTAATATGTAGTCCATTTAGTCCGTTGGTGAACATACACATTTTTATTTGCTGGAATGAAATCCTGTGAAAGTCTTAATTTCCCACAGATAAACTTGTTGCAGCTTTCACTTTCACAGACATTAATTTTCGCATTTTTACTAAAATGATCAATTAGAATTTGCAACATATTTTTTTTCAACGGATCCTAGAAACTACCTATTTAATCCTGAGGTGATCTGGTATTGTCCCGATTTGTGTTCAATAAAACTGGTTTGTCAAAGTTCTTAATTGTTTGTTGTATTTACAGATTTACCTGATCCATGAAATACATTGACAGAAAAAGAATGCCAAAAAGATAGTGAATGCAAATATTGTAAACAAATCTGTGCAACTAATTAAAATTTACTCAATTCAAACATTTGTAAACAATCAAAAGAGTTTGATGGTTTTTATCATTAAATTCTAACAATTCTTATTGTATTTATGTTTATTGTTTAAACCCAAGGGTGACACTCTTGATAACATATATAACAGAGAGTACACTAAAATTTCAAGGATAAAATTCAATGTCTTGTATAATACATGGATAACTGTATAAAATTCAATGTCTTGTATTTACATGGATAACTGTATGCTGATGACATTGACATACCACAAACAATACCATCAAAAAGATCACCAGGTATACTTGTTTTTTATGCAAAAATACATGCATTTCTCATATATTTTTTCACTGGTTTCCTTTTCCCCCCAGAAAAAAAAGTATAATTAAATATAATGAATCCTGCCTATAGGACATTGGTCTTTCCTTGGCCCAATGACACTTAATAAAATATCATCTAATAAATACAAATTTATGTAACATTGTATAATTACAAATGGTACATGCATAGTGACACACTAAAATGAGAAAATAACTTGTTTTTATACCTCTGCATTTTTACTATGCTCTTTGATTAGTTTTTCTCTTTCATCTTTCAATGAAGAATTTTCTTCCAGTAAACAATTTCCTATTGTTGCAGCTGTGTGCAGTTTGCTCTCTAGCTCAGCAATTTCATCCATTTTCTGTAAAAATAGGCAAAACATATGTATTAAAAGAACAAAGAGGGACTAAGTCACTGTATTACTATGTAACTACCATAAAGATACTCCACCAGTAAGATGGAATAAACAGCAATCTTACAATAATGTACAGTCCAGTGAACACACTGACAGAAGGTACCCAGCAAATAGTCACTTAGTATGTTAGTACCAGGATGTTGGGCAGATAGTCACTCAGTATGTTAGTACCAGGATGTTGGGCAGATAGTCACTTACTATGTTAGTACCAGGATGTTGGGCAGATAGTCACTTAGGATGTTAGTACCAGGATGTTGGGCAGATAGTCACTTACTATGTTAGTACCAGGATGTTGGGCAGATAGTCACTTATTATGTTAGTACCAGGATGTTGGGCAGATAGTCACTTACTATGTTAGTACCAGGATGTTGGGCAGATAGTCACTTAGGATGTTAGTACCAGGATGTTGGGCAGATAGTCACTCAGTATGTTAGTACCAGGATGTTGGGCAGATAGTCACTTAGGATGTTAGTACCAGGATGTTGGGCAGATAGTCACTTAGTATATTAGTACCAGGATGTTGGGCAGATAGTCACTTATTATGTTAGTACCAGGATGTTGGGCAGATAGTCACTCAGTATGTTAGTACCAGGATGTTGGGCAGATAGTCACTTACTATGTTAGTACCAGGATGTTGGGCAGATAGTCACTCAGTATGTTAGTACCAGGATGTTGGGCAGATAGTCACTCAGTATGTTAGTACCAGGATGTTGGGCAGATAGTCACTTACTATGTTAGTACCAGGATGTTGGGCAGATAGTCACTCAGTATGTTAGTACCAGGATGTTGGGCAGATAGTCACTTAGGATGTTAGTACCAGGATGTTGGGCAGATAGTCACTCAGTATGTTAGTACCAGGATGTTGGGCAGATAGTCACTCAGTATGTTAGTACCAGGATGTTGGGCAGATAGTCACTCAGTATGTTAGTACCAGGATGTTGGGCAGATAGTCACTCAGTATGTTAGTACCAGGATGTTGGGCAGATAGTCACTTAGTATGTTAGTACCAGGATGTTGGGCAAATAGTCACTTAGTATTTTAGTACCAGGATGTTCGGCAGATAGTCACTATTTCAAGTACTTGGCTGCCCGAGAAATATTCATTTACTATTTTTGGTACCGGTACACTATCCATGCCAACTACCAGGCAAATAGTCACTAATTCTGTTAGCCCAAGTTTTCTCTGGCCCCTACACCAGACTTACAAAGACATTTTGACAGAAAGATGTCTGGTGACTCTGCAGGGCCAGAGGATACTCTGGCTATATTTCAATTTGAGGTACCCAGCAGCTGCTATTTTAGGTCTGGCCCCGATATATGTTATCAATGTCTAATGTGGGGGCCCCACCAGACATCTATCTGTCAAAATGTGTTAGTCTGGTGTCAGGCCATAGGAAACTTAGTGGTTGCACTTTATTGCATGATTGCCAAGCTGATTTATTAATATTGAAATGTCCATTCCGTAACAATAAATCAACTCGTGACATTATGCACCCAAACAGAGGACTTGAGGGCAAAATAATCAGATAAAATACAAGTAACCTCTGCGATCCCTCAAGGAACCTGTTTGGGCCCCATCCTCTTCCTCATCTACATCAATGACTTCCACGAATACATGCAATACAGTACACTGAGACTCTTTACAGACGACAGCATCATATACAAGACGATAAACAACAAAGAAGACACACTAAAACTACAACATGACCTTGACGCAGCAGGACAATGGGAGACGGACTGGCTAATGGAATTTCGCCCTGACAAATGCAACATACTCAACATTGCACCGAAACGCAACAAAATACACCATGACTACAAACTCCACAACCACACATTACACCAAGTAGAATCCAGCAAATACTTAGGCTTAACATTACAAAATAACCTACGATGGGACAAACATATTAATAACATTACAGCCAATGCCAATAGGTCCCTAGGTTTTCTAAAACGCAACTAAACAAGATAAAGCAGAGCGTGACATTATCCTCGCGCCCCGCTGTTTTAAAGAAAGACACACAATCATATATATATATGTTACTACTACAATAACAGGAATTAACTCCATTCCAACACTGTTACTGATAATAATAATAATAAATTCTTTTATTTAGACAGGGTAACATATTTAGACTTTCGTCAAGTTTACAAATGTATACTGATATTTTAAGCACTAGCTTCATAAGTGTACACAATTTCCTGTATACATCTTGAATGCAAATGGCTCCAATAGAGTGCTGGGTTGATAAGTGTAGAAATTAAATTTCAATTTGTTATTTTTAATAGTTTTGAGATCATTCTTCAGAAATCGCAAATTTCGCATTTTTGCCTTTTTCCATGGCAACAGAAAGAAAAAAGAAATATCCAAAATGAGAACTCCTCCAGGAGCAAAATGCACCAAGAGAGTGCCAGCTTGTACAAAGTTTCAGGCAGTTCATGAACAATTTTGTTGCCATGCTCTGGAAACCGTGAAATTTGTAATTTTGCCTAACTAGAGTGGAGGATGATAAGTGGACAAAGTTTAAGGTACATGTAGTAATCTTGAAAGGTTTTGACATTTTACTCTGGAAACAGCTAAATTTTAGTTTTGCCTATCTGTTTCTATGGTTACCAATTAAAAAAAAAATATATGAGAACTCCTCCATAGCTAAAGGCACTACCAGAATGCTAGCTTGATAGTCAGGTTGGGGAAAACCACCAACTTGCGTATATACGCAAACTCGCCTATTATACACCAGATGTAGTATGGATTTGTTACTAAAAATAACCCAAATAGCTTTAACAGAAACTTTTGCAAGATATTATTAAAAGTCGCATTAATATACGACAAGGTAAATAATATTTTGCTAAATGATGTTTACTGAAAGTGTTGGCTACAGCCTACTTAGAAACTTGATGTAACTTTACCGGAATTATTGCATTTATTTTTGGTACTTTCCCACATGCAAATGAAGTTTATTTTTGCATTTGTATTATGTTTCATGCCTGAATAAATGCGACTTTGACAAACAATTTGAAAAAGTTAAGATTAAAGTAATTTTGGCTATTTAGTAACAAATCCATACCCCTATTGGCGTATAATAGGCGAGTTTGCGTATTATACGCAAGTTAGTGGTTTTCCCCGACCTGATAGTTATACAAAGTTTCAGGTAGTTATCTTGAACAGTTTTGGAATCATGCTCCATATAACTGAAATTTGTAATTTTGCCTATCTGTTTCCATGGTAACAGAAAAAGTGTTTAAATGTGGAACTTCTCCAAAGCAAAAGGCACTACTAGAGTACTAGCTTGATAACTGTACACAGTTTTAAGTAGTTATCTTGAAGGGTTTCAGAACTCTGGTCCGGAAAATGCCCTTGCATGGACGCACAGACGGACGGAGCCCAATTTAATATCCCTGCAAAACACGTTTGCGAGAGATAAAAATAAACTCACCACATATAAAAGAACATGCATACAAAGCACTAGTCAGACCGAAACTTTAAAACTACAAACACGGCGCTTTCACACAAGAATGATCCTTTTCTACAAAATTGTACACCAAATCGTAGCTATAAACCTAACATATATACTCACACACGTAGACCCTCGAACCAGACATGCACACCCTTACGCATACAAACACATATCTGCTACAAAGGACACCTGTATCTGTATATGTACGTTGAAAGACCACTTCTGGCATATAATCAACGGAAGGGAAGAGCGCATAGAGGTTTTTAGTCCGAGTGGAGACGAGATTCGAAAATCTCCACAGATTTCACAAGGACTTGTTCGTCCTGAAGATGGTTCCAGTCTATTATAGTACTGGGGAAAAAAGAGTTCCTGAGTGTTTCTGTTTTCGCAGCAATAGTTTGAAAACAGCGGCTATTGTTTGTAACACTATTTTCAACGACGTTTGTTGGGATAAAGCTGTCAAAATGCCTTGCTGTCACTTAATTCTCACTGGTTTTAAATAGGGCTTAGGTGGTATAGCCGGTACCAACCCCTCCATCACCTTGAACAGGAAGGTCAGACGTAGGTCCTTTCTGCGTTTTTGTAATGTTTGCAGGTCCAAGTCCCTGAGCATGTTGGCAACACATCCAGGAGTTCTTGTTCTGTGGTCGCGCATGATAAATCGAGCAGCCTTCCTTTAAGAGGATCTCCAGCTTGTCAATATCCGACTGTAGGAATGGGTCCCATATGATGGCTCCATATTCCAGTGTTGATCTGACAAGCGAGATGTAGGCCGATTTCCGTGTTTTGGCTGGGCAGTGGTAGAGGTTCTGCCTAATAAAGCTTAGGATAGAACTAGCTTTTTTTACAGATTTTGTCGATGTGGGTTCCCCATCGGAGATCAGACGAGATTGTGATGCCAAGGTAGGGACTATTCGGAACTCCTTTGAGGATAGTGTCATACTTGATCTAGAAAACACCTACAAAATATTCATTCTTTACACACAATATAATCTCGTTCCCATAGCAGCAGTACAATGCACAACACTACAGTAGAGGATTTCAAGGCACACATCCTATGCAGCCCTCATCACACGCCAGCTTTTACCTTTTATCTATACCCTGCACAAAAACTGTAAATAACCCCTTTGTTCACGCCTCTGTGATAGGACCGAGGGCATAATCATAAACACATTGATGGAGCCCCCTATGGCCTATTAAAGAAGAAGAATTACTCTCTGTGCTATTCACTTTTGCACGCTATGGTGTCATTTTCTGAGTACGGGGAAATCATAAACATACCACAAGCTACTAACTAGTTTACAACGATGTCATCTGAGCGAAAAAATAATGGGGCACAGCTCGCGCAGGTACTAGCCTTGTCTGTCAAAACACCTGTGAATGGGGAAGGGGGCCACTGTAGTAAATAGATCTATGTTTCGTGGGCGCCCACTGACTGAATTCCGCTTACCATTTATACATTTATAACTAGATGTCTTATACCTTAATGATTTGCCGTCTTCACTCACTAATATTGGATCTTCCACCTAATCGGCTAATAATGTGTACAGGAATTATGTCAACAACTCAAAACTGCCGCCTTACGTTATCAGCCAATCCAAATCGTTGAAACAAAATGAACCGGAAGTTCGCTGATAATTCTAATAAAGGACATATTTCAACCGATTAAGTCCGTGTTTTAACCAATTTAGAGTCAAAATGCGTTTGGATTTTCTAGATCTGTTATGTAAAACAGAAACCTGCCGAAAACAAACAGTCTAAATATTTAATCTGCACCAAGTTGTCACTGAAACCAGAAAAAAAGTTTACTTAGTGCAATACCGACAAAGTCTGGTTAGCTTATTAAGAAGCACATTTTTTGATGTAGGAAAATAACTTTGAAAGGTATCTCTAAAATTGCATATAAATTTAAGTGAAAATATTAATTGGTCTTAATGAATAACTCAATATTTGAATATGATTGTCACTGTGATGTACAACGAGAAATTCTTATTTTGAAAACAGTGTGTACGTAAACTAAGATAACAGAGCCTTTGACTGGAGTGGACGGATTAGAATGTGATCCAGCAGTATGACGGTGTTATGTTGGATATTTTCCTCCATTTTTCTGCATAACACCAAAGACATGTATTCATATAAACTTCAAAACATAAAAATATATGATGTGGGTTTTTTATTTGTCTTTTGATGAAACTCTGTAAAGGAAGACATGTACATTAAGATATGGAACACTCGCAAATATCCTATTGAAAATTATAATTATAAAGTAACAATGTACGTGTAACTACAGAGGAATCTGCTATGATACAAACCATGCACAAATCCCGGTGCTCTGATTTCTGGAAGCTACATCTTTCTAATGAAGTGTGAGGTTTAACATCCAGAATAGACTGCGAACGCCCACGACTTTCGCCTCATTTTGGTACCAACATATTTTATATTTCAACATTATCTAACGAAGGTTGGAAGTATGCACACTCAATTTTCTGAAATCAACAAATAATGACATTTCCAATGATTCATATAGTACGACGGGTTAACCTTTTCTAGCAGGTAAATACGTGGCCGATACTCTGTTTAGGTATTTATGTCAGAAGATGTTTGGTGCACATCATTGAGTGCTATATAAAACATCCGTTAAATAATTTTGAAATATTAAATTTAGTGCTACAAAAAAATTAAATCAGTTCGGTATTCCCAGCCATTTCTCGGGACAAAATCCCAAACCGCTGGTTGACGTCGATTCCAGAATAGGTTTAGTGTTCATATATATAAACGGTATCTCCCACAGACACAAAGTCTGCTGGATAACCGAAATACGCGGTAGTGAAGCGGACGTAAAACCTATCAAAAGACAAAACCTATCAGACACGAAGGGGACTGTGCACGTCACTGATGCATTTCGCGTTTTTCTTTTATTTCATTAAGCGCACTAAATATATTCTGAAAGCGTCGAATAATGATCTTTGCCAAGACTCCAAGAGGTACAGGTTTACCCTTCAATTAAATGTTGTATCCACTGCTATTGTTTTGTTCTTTGTTAATAGTAAAGGCGAGTTAAAAACGTAAACTTGTGCTCTTAAAGCTTGGAAACATTGTATAAGAAAATAGACGTATCTCTTCATACACAAGACCCCTATGACATTGACTGCTGTGGGTGAAGGACATTCATTTGAACAAACTTGATAAACGACCATCCCGGCATGCTATAGGCCAAATATGACTGTAGGCCGCTTGGTTATTCAGAACAGATATGACTTCACAAATCTGACATAATAGCAGGGAAAGGTCTTCCAAGTATTATATTTCAAAACACTTGTAAAGCCTGATACTTAAGTAGTCATGAACTATCAAACTCGAGATGCGAAATTCCTACTGCACAACCAGTGAGATATGTATGCCACGTTCCAATTACATTTGTTGCTATTGTTATGCCATGGCCGGGGTATATATCGCCAGGACGGTTTTTGATAATCCTTTTACTGTATTTAAGAGACGACCACATGACCTTTCATTTCAATATTTTTTATTTGCTTTTTTGTTCGTCCCATTTAAACGGTCAATGAATGACATCGTGCCGTTGCTTTTTACATCACATGTGACTTTGATGCTGTTGGTGGAGTTTGCGGTGTTATGGTCATTTCTTTCAGTGACCCTTTCTTGAGCAGCTTTAGTATGTCGTCAGCATATATCGCATCCATGAGCTTGGCTTGCACTCCCTTCCGTCTGTGGTCCATTGCCCGAATTATTGTTAGCGATATTTCTCAGAAAGTGTACTGGAGGGACATATCGCCAACTTCACATGTAGATTCCCCATGGTTTTAGATGTGCGTATTAAAAGTTTTGTATTAACATAAAAATTAATATGGTCAACAGCAGGTGGCTATCTTGACTTTTTGTAGAGTTACATATTGTTAGCGCTATTTCTCAAAATGAACAGGATGGATCTTTGTCAAATCTTATCTGAAGGTACTCCGTGGCCTCAGTCTGGTGATGCACATTGTATTTTGGGACTGATCGACAAAGAGATGGCTGACAGACAGTCATCTTAATTTTAAGAGTTATAGATTGTTAGCGCAGTTTCTCAAATATTACTGAAGGATTTTGTCAAATCTCACATGCGAGTTCACCATGGTCTCTAGAAATGCATATAGAATTTTGGAACTGATGAGAAAACCAAGATGGCCGATAGAACGCCTCCTTGAAATTCTTAGAGATAAACTTTGTTAGCACTATTTCTCTGGATCTTTCTATAAAATTTCACATGTAGGTTTACATGGTCCTGAGTTATGCATATTGAACTTGGGGACTGATCGGAAGCTTTTGATAGTTAAAGCTCATAAGCGCTATTTTCAGGAAGCAAGACTCCCAATAGGGTCATCCAAAGGTTTATACACATTTGACCATGTGGCCTTGACAGTGGTGCGGGTCATTCACACGAACGAACTCCATAGTTCTTATCACCACCCTTTGTATTTTGGTTTCAACACATTTGCCCCTGTGACCTTGAATATGGGTGAAGGTCATTGATTCAGATACATTCTGTAGCTCTTTATCTGAGGATGTAACTGGCCACATAGAACCATCCTAGGCCTTTTGGTTATTCAGACTAAGTTGTTTAAATAATTTCAACATATTTTTGAAATAAAACACACATGTTTAAGCATTGGTTTTGAATATGGTTGAAGTTCATTCACTTGAACAAATGTGGTAGCTCTTCACCTGAACATCTTGCTGACAAAATATCATCACCCAAGACTGTTTGGTTATTCAAGGGGATTGCTTTTTTTTTTTAAATATTTCATATTTAACACATGTGACCTTGAAAAGGAATGAAGGTAATTCATTTGGACAAATATTATAAACCTCCACCAAGCATGTTACTAGCCATTATCACCCTAGCCAATTTGGTAAGTCAGAAGTTGTTGATAGGTTTCGAATATGAGTCAAGGTCATTCATCCCTGAATTCTACAAAAATCATCACCCTAGCCTTTTGGTTATTTAGAAGTTGTTTACATGTTTTTTGTAAAGACATTTGACTGATGACCTTGAATATGGGTGAAGGTATTTTTTAAAACTAAGTTGGTAACCCTTAATCTAAGCATGCTATTTGTAAAGTCTTCACTCTAGCCATTTTGGTTATACAGAAGAAGTTGTTTAACATAATTATTTGACATGCCCACTTCACCAGTTTGTTCACTGCACACTGTATGTAACTGGTCCATTATTCTCTGGTTTTGAACCATGTTTTTTATTGGTCAGAGTTATTTCTGTTAAGAAATTTCTTTATACAGGATTATGTTTTTACTATGGAACAGTGTCTGCATAAGTGTTTAGGTTATTTGGCGATTTTTTGGTAAATTGTATATGTGAATTAAACATGACAGTGACTTTTTCTAAATCAAATTTTGTTTCAAATGAAACAAACTTGAAACCCCAAATTCACATATAGAACTGTATGGTGTGGGAAATTCATCTACATATAGATCTGTATGGTGTGGGAAATTCATCTACATATAGATCTGTATGGTGTGGGAAATTCATCTACAAGTAGATATAGAACTGTATGTGGTGGGAAATTCATCTACATATAAAACTGTATGGTGTGGGAAATGCATCAACATATAGAACTGTATGGTGTGGGAAATTCATCGACATAAGTACATACAGAACTGTATGATGTTGGAAATTCATTTTCATAAGCACATAAAGAACTGTATGGTGTGGTAAATTCATCTACATAAGTACATACAGAACTGTATGATGTGGGAAATTCATCTTCATAAGCACATAAAGAACTGTATGGTGTGGTAAATTCATCTACATAAACACATATAGAACTGTATGGTGTGGGAAATTCATCGACATAAGTACATACAGAACTGTATGATGTTGGAAATTCATTTTCATAAGCACATAAAGAACTGTATGGTGTGGGAAATTCATCTCATATGGAACTGTATGGTGGGGGAAATTCATCTACATAAACACATATAGAACTGTGTGGTGTGGGAAATTCATTTCATATAGAACTGTATGGTGTGGGAAATTCATCGACATAAGTACATACAGAACTGTATGATGTTGGAAATTCATTTTCATAAGCACATAAAGAACTGTATGGTGTGTGAAATTCATCTACATAAGTACATACAGAACTGTATGATGTGGGAAATTCATCTTCATAAGCACATAAAGAACTGTATGGTGTGGTAAATTCATCTACATAAACACATATAGAACTGTATGGAGTGGGAAATTCATCTACATAAACACATATAGAACTGTGTGGTGTGGGAAATTCATCTATATAAGCACAAGTAGATATAGAACTGTGTGGTGTGGGAAATTCATCTATATAAGCACAAGTAGATATAGAACTGTGTGGTGTGGGAAATTCATTTCATATAGAACTGTATGGTGTGGGAAATTCATCGACATAAGTACATACAGAACTGTATGATGTTGGAAATTCATTTTCATAAGCACATAAAGAACTGTATGGTGTGTGAAATTCATCTACATAAACACATATAGAACTGTGTGGTGTGGGAAATTCATTTCATATAGAACTGTATGGTGTGGGAAATTCATCTACATAAACGCATATAGAACTGTATGGTGTGGGAAATTCATCTCATGTAGAACTGTATGGTGTGGGAAATTCATCTCATATGGAACTGTATGGTGGGGGAAATTCATCTACATAAACACATATAGAACTGTATGGTGAGGGAAATTCATCTACAAGTAGATATAGAACTGTATGTTGTGGGAAATTCATCTACATATAAAACTGTATGGTGTGGGAAATGCATCTGCATAAACACATATAGAACTGTGTGGTGTGGGAAATTCATTTCATATAGAACTGTATGGTGTGGGAAATTCATCGACATAAGTACATACAGAACTGTATGATGTTGGAAATTCATTTTCATAAGCACATAAAGAACTGTATGGTGTGGGAAATTCATCTCATATGGAACTGTATGGTGGGGGAAATTCATCTACATAAACACATATAGAACTGTATGGTGTGGGAAATTCATCGACATAAGTACATACAGAACTGTATGATGTTGGAAATTCATTTTCATAAGCACATAAAGAACTGTATGGTGTGTGAAATTCATCTACATAAACACATATAGAACTGTATGGTGTGGGAAATTCATCGACATAAGTACATACAGAACTGTATGATGTGGGAAATTCATCTTCATAAGCACATAAAGAACTGTATGGTGTGGTAAATTCATCTACATAAACACATATAGAACTGTATGGTGTGGAAAATTCATCTACATCAACACATATAGAACTGTATGGTGTGGGAAATTCATCTGCATAAACACATATAGAACTGTGTGGTGTGGGAAATTCATCTCATATAGAACTGCATGGTGTGGGAAATTCATCTACATAAACACATATAGAACTGTGTGGTGTGGGAAATTCATCTACATAAGCACAAGTAGATATAGAACTGTGTGGTGTGGGAAATTCATCTACCTCAACACATATAGAACTGTATGGTGTGGGAAATTCATCTACATAAGCACATAAAGAACTGTATGGTGTGGGAAATCAAAAGTGTAAAGACTGACTTTCAAATCCACTTCAGAATTTAATTTCGGAAGTGATAATGTATCCCAGCAATGTCGATCAATAGCCTTTGTGTAAACCACACAATGCTCTATAACAGTTCCTCTGTGACTCGGAAGTCTCAATAATGAAAAATTAAAAAACAAGAATGTAAGAATGTCATAATTTTTTATTGGTAGTCCAAGTGCATATCTGTAAATTGAAAATTCTTCAACAATACATGATGATGCAGTTATTCATATTTCCCATGCTTCTGATTATTTCTTTATGGACCATCCACTGGTAAGGTCTTATATGACTAACAGTGTCCTATTAATAGAATATCAAGTCGAAAAATGTCTTTGAATGCTTTCATGAATTATTTTTTGCACCACAATTACTGAATAGTGCATCAATTAATTTTGAGTGAATGTTATGTTAACATGACAGGTAATTCATGTACAGACAAAGCAGTGAGGAAATAGGTGTTGAGGGAGGCAGAGGAGAGAGGGAAAAAAGGAAAAAACATTCTAAAGAGGATGACTTTTACAGAGAACACCCCAAACAGATATTTCGTTGAATGAACATATGGATAATCAGAAATGATGTCCAATTGAATCAGTCCACCTTGCTTGGCAAATGTTCTAATCTCTGTCAGTATAATTTTTAGGGAATAGTGATCCCTCATATGTCCTTATCTCGGAGAGTTGACTGTCAGAAGAGGTCTCGTCTTTTTCTTTCCTCCCCGGTGAGTCTGTTTTTTCACTGGCATGAGATCCTCCTCGTCTGACGACTCGAGGGTTTTCTGGCTAGCTGATTCTTGGCTCTGGCTGTCCTCTGGATAAACAAACCGAAAATACACTTAATGTATTAAGGTCATTGGAGTGTATCGATAAATGGAAACAGGAAGTACATCCCTAGTTGAAAATCCAATGTAGGGAGACAGTATCACAATTTCCCCAAGTTCTAATGTTTAATATTAAACTGATGAATATTGTATGTTTATTATTGACAGAACAGTGTGTTCTCCCAATATTAAAGTATTTCAAAGCAATCCAGGTATTAATTCAGTTTTTTTTATTATCAATGAGTCACATGTGTCCATTTTTCTGTACTTCAGGAAACCGGCTACCTATTTCACTACTGTGAAGTTTTTCAAGAACGATAACTCTTACCTGCAATTACTATGCGTATATGGTTTTATTATAAAATGTCAATTTTTATATCGTGTATAGAGAATTAATTTTACACAATTTCTGCATTTATTAAATTGATATACATTAATGCAATACTAATATATGTCAGTATCATTTTTATTGACATTATTTTGTAAAAATATTGTGTCTTTCATTTTTTTTTTCAAAATTCACTCCTTTCTACATAAATTTCCATTTAAAATCCTTAATATTCTGACAACCTATATTTTTTTTGCGGCAGAAAATTTTCTTTACTTTAAAACAATATAACTACAAAATTTGAAGAAATTCTACTGAGAAATGGTGACACAATCCTATTACCTTAAGCTTAGAAATATTTATATTATCAAAAAAATATACACAGACATTTGGTAATTCGATTTATACACTAAAAGAAAAAACAATTATGTATCATTCAAGTGTATTTGATTTACCTGTACAAGATTTATCCAGATCAAACAATTCCAAGTCACTGTCTTCATCGGAATCAAACGATACTTTAGGTTTCGCTTTCCGTTGTGTCTGTCGTCTTACTATCGGTGTCTTGTTCTCCTGAGGATCATCATCCTCACTGTCAGAGATCACCTTTTTAGTGCGTCGCCCAGCCTTGCCCTTCCGAGCTGTAAATAAAACCCAGCAAATTAAGAATGTTGGTTTCATAACTATACAGGTTTTACCTCTCTGTGGGTTTAGGCTATTAAGGTGCCATCCCTGGTGTATTGATGGGTACATTTATATATTTATCTTTGCAGTGCTATCTCACTAAAATGTGGACATGACAGCATGAAACCCCACCTAGTCCTAATATTTTGACCAGACCAGTGGCAGGAGCCTAGGGAGACACAAACCAATGAAGAAGAGAGAGCAGGTAGTGTAAGAGAGACAAAACAAGTGTGACCTTTGAACCTTTAACCCTGATCAATGACCAGTAAATTCTAATAAGGCATAGAAATTGATAATACCATCCTAAAATTAAATGTAAACAAAATCTATAAAAGAGTTCACGAGATATCTTGTACTCATGCTTTTTACTTCAAAGTAGTGAAGTGTGACCATTTAACATTGACTGATGACCACCAAAATCTAACTACCGTATTTGTCCAGTGATAAGCCCTGCCCCCTACTTTGAGTTAGAGATTATGCGTTGTCCCCATGGGCTTATATTAGGATAAATACGGTGGGTGTACAACTTCTTGCTACCTTACCATGGTGTAAATATGAATTAACCTGTAGAAAGATTTATGACATGTATTGTACAAAAGTTTTTAACTGGTAAGTGTGACTCTGACCTTGACCTTAAAGTGTAGAATTTGATGTAAACATTAAATTACACTGTTTGGGAGCTAACAATCTACATCTATGGAAAAAAAATTGTATGGCACAAATCTTGGCTTAGAAATAATACTGGATGTGACTTAGATAGACAGATGGACACAATCCAGATAAATACCAACATTTCCCCCCGAAAAGCAGGGATAAAAACAAAAGAAAAACTTCAAATCTCTTCATCTCATGCTTTAAAGCAAAAGTCATAAAACACAGTGGTTTTGTGTTTATTACATGGACTGAGCTTGGGAACACAAGTTAATACTATCTTAAAATATGATATGTCATCAAAGTGCACATTGGTTTTACATATTTATCATTTTGCATTTAATCACATAAATGATGCCAATTGAACTTCTTTATTTATCTAACAAGGAGGAGGAGTTTACCTGGAGTTTTGCGCGGTGTCTTGCCTCGCTGACTGGCCTGGCTGGCTTTCTGTGTTATTTCATCGTCCTCCATTCCTTTATTGTGACAACGTTCGAGGCGCTCCTCTAACTCTGTCAGTAAAGGTGCCAGGGCAGCCACCTATTATAACACAGGGTACACAGTGAAACACCTATTATAACTGCAGGGTACACAGTGAAAAACCTATTATAATACATGGTACACTGTTAAACATCTATTACAATACATGGTACACAGTGAAACTCCTATTATAACTGCAGGGTCCACAGTGAAACACCTATTCCAATACAGGGTACACATTGGAACACCTATTATAATCCAGGGTACACAGTGAAACCCCTATTATAACTGCAGGGTCCACAGTGAAACACCTAATATAATACAGGGTACATAGCGAAACACCTATTATAATCCAGGGTACACAGTGAAACTCCTATTATAACTGCAGGGTCCACAGTGAAACACCTAATATAATACAGGGTACCTACTGAAACACCTATTATAATACATGGTACACTGTTAAACATCTATTACAATACAGGGTACACATTGGAACACCTATTATAATCCAGGGTACACAGTGAAACCCCTATTATAACTGCAGGGTCCACAGTGAAACACCTAATATAATACAGGGTACCTACTGAAACACCTATTATTACTGCAGGGTACACAGTGAAAAACCTATTATAATACAGGGTACACTGTGAAACACTTATTACAATACAGGGTACACTGTGAAACATCTATTATACAGGGTACACTGTGAAACACTTATAACAATACAGGGTACACAGTGAAACACTTATTACAATACAGAGTACACAGTGAAACACCTATTATAATACAGGGTACATAGTGAAACACCTATTATAACACAGGGTACACAGTGAAACACCTATTATAATACAGGGTAAACTGTGAAACACTTATTACAATAAAGGGTACACTGTGAAACATCTATTAGAATACAGGGTACACTGTGAAACAGTTATTACAATACAGGGTACACAGTGAAACACTTATTACAATACAGAGTACACAGTGAAACACCTATTACAATACAGGGTACACAGTGAAACACCTATTACAATACAGGGTACATAGTGAAACACCTATTATAATACAGGGTACACAGTGAAACACCTATTATAACACAGGGTACACAGTGAAACACCTATTATAATACAGGGTACACAATGAAACACCCATAACAATACAGGGTACACAGTGAAACATCTATTACAATGCAGGGTACACAGTGAAACACCTATTATAATACAGGGTACACAGTGAAACACCTATTACAATACAGGGTACACTGTGAAACACCTATTACAATACAGGGTACACAATGAAACACCCATAACAATACAGGGGACACAGTGAAACAACTATTACAATACAGGGTACACAGACACCAACAGGTACACAGACCACCTATTATAATACAGGGTACATAGTGAAACATCTATTAAAATACATGGTACACAGTGAAACATCTATTACAGTGCAGGGTACACAGAGAAACACCTATTATAACACAGGGTAAACAGTGAAACACCTATTATAATACAAGGTACACAGAGAAACATCTATTACAATACAGGGCACACAGTGAAACACCTATTACAAAACAGGGTACACAGTGAAACACCAGAGAAACATCTATTACAATACAGGTTACATAGTGAAACATCTATTACATTACAGGGTACACAGTAAAACACCTATTACAATACAGGGTCCACAGGTAAACACCTATTACAATACAGGGGACATAGTGAAACACCTATTACAATGCAGGGTACACTGTGAAACACCTATTACAATACAGCCTACACAGTGAAACATCTATTACAATACAGGGAACACAGTGAAACAGCTATTACAATACAAGGTACATAGTGAGACATCTATTACAATACCGGGTACACAGTGAAACACCTATTACCTATTATAATACAGGGTACACAGGGAAACACCTATTATAATACAGGGAACACAGTGAAACAGCTATTACAATAGAGGGTACGTGGGGAAACATCTATTACAATACAGGGGACACAGTGAAACACCTATTATAACACAGGGTACACCGTGAAACACCTATTATAATACAGGGAACACAGTGAAACAGCTATTACAATAGAGGGTACGTGGGGAAACATCTATTACAATACAGGGAAGACAGTGAAACACCTATTACAATATAGGGGACACAGTGAAACACCTATTACAAGACAGGGTACACAGTTAAACACCTATTACAATACAGGGTACGCAGTGAAACATCTATTACAATGCAGGGAACACAGAGAAACACCTATTACAATACAGGGAACATAGTGAAACACCTATTACAATAAAAGGTAAACAGTGAAACACCTATTATAATACAGGGTAAACTGTGAAACACTTATTACAATACAGAGTACACAGTGAAACAGTTATTACAATACAGGGGACACAGTGAAACAACTATTACAATACAGGGTACACAGAGAAACACCTATTATAACACAGGGTGCACAGTGAAACACCTATTATAATACAGGGTACCCAGTGAAACACCTATTATAACACAGGGTAAACAGTGAAACACCTATTATAATACAAGGTACACAGAGAAACATCTATTACAATACAGGGAAGACAGTGAAACACCTATTACAATACTTGGCACACAGGGAAACACCTATTATAATACAGGGTACCCAGTGAAACACCTATTATAACACAGGGTAAACAGTGAAACACCTATTATAATACAGGGAACACAGAGAAACATCTATTACAATACAGGGTTCACAGTGAAACACCTATTACAATGCAGGGTACATAGTGAAACACCTATCATAATACAGGGTACACAGTGAAACACTTATTACAATACAGGGTACACAGTGAAACACCTATTACAATACAGGGTACATAGTGAAACATCTATTACAATACATGGTACACAGTGAAACACCTATTACAATACAGGGTACACAGTTAAACACCTATTACAATACAGGGTACACAGTGAAACATCTATTACAATGCAGGGTACACAGTGAAACACCCATAACAATACAGGGTACACAGTGAAACACCTATTATAATACAGGGTACACTGTGAAACATCTATTACAATACAGGGTACAAAATGAAACACCCATAACAATACAGGGTACACAGTGAAACATCTTTTACAATACAGGGTACACAGTGAAACACCTATTATAATACAGGGTACACTGTGAAACATCTATTACAATACAGGGTACACTTAAACACGTATTATAACACAGGGTACACAGTGAAACACCTATTATAATACAGGGTACACTGTGAAACATCTATTACAATACAGGGTACAAAATGAAACACCCATAACAATACAGGGTACACAGTGAAACATCTATTACAATGCAGGGTACACAGTGAAACACCCATAACAATACAGGGTACATAGTGAAACACCTATTACAATACAAGGTACACAGTGAAACACCTATTACAATATAGGGTACACAGTGAAACACTTATTACAATACAGGGTACACCGTGAAACACCTATTACAATACAGGGTACAAAGTGAAACACCTATCATAATACAGGGTACACAGTGAAACACTTATTACAATACAGGGTACACAGTGAAATACCTATTACAATACAGGGTACACAGTGAATCACCCATAACAATACAGGGTACACAGTGAAACACCTATCATAATACAGGGTACACAGTGAAACACTTATTACAATACAGGGTACACCGTGAAACACCTATTACAATACAGGGTACATAGTGAAACGCCTATCATAATACAGGGTACACAGTGAAACACTTATTACAATACAGGGTACACCGTGAAACACCTATTACAATACAGGGTACAGAGTGAAACACTTATTACAATACAGGGTACACCGTGAAACACCTATTACAATACAGGGTACACAGTGAAACACCTATTACAATACAGGGTACATAGTGAAACACCTATCATAATACAGGGTACACAGTGAAACACTTATTATAATACAGGGTACACAGTGAAACACCTATTACAATACAGGGAACACAGTGAAACACCTATTACAATACAGTGTACACAGTGAAACACCTATTACAATGCAGGGTACACAGAGAAACATCTATTACAATACAGGGTACACAATGAAACACCCATAACAATACAGGGTACACAGTGAAACACCCATAACGATACAGGGTACACAGTGAAACACCAATTACAATACAGGGTACATAGTGAAACACCTATTATAATACAGGGTACACAGTGAAACACTTATTATAATACAGGGTACACAGTGAAACAGTTATTACAATACAGGGTACACAGTGAAACAGCTATTACAATACAGGGTACACAGTGAAACACCTATTACAATACAGGGTACACAGTGAAACACCTATTACAATACAGGGTACATATTATTTTTAACACCATATAGGCTCCACAGTATAACATAGCCCAAGTTTCCTCTGGCCCTGACACCAGACTTAGACATTTTGACAGATAGATGTCTGGTGTGGGCCAATGCCAGACATCTATCTGTCAAAATGTCCTAGTCTGGTGTCAGGGCCAGAGGAAACTTGGGCTAAGTATTACATTATACCAGGTACATACAATGAAACACAAGTTGATATACCTGTCTTTGTGAATCCCTTGTTAATTAAATACTTTTACCTTAATATTTCAATGTTAGTCTCCTACAGTGGTAAAGACAAAACTGAAGATAGACTTTTTGGTATAAAGAAAGAAAGAAATCTGACGTTTAGTGTTACCTTTGTTCCTAGTTTAGAGGATGACTGAGATTTTGTTATGATGGAGACGAAGCAGGAGTAGACATCATCATCAGCCAGTTTATCAGCAAAACACACAAAGTTTTCCTGGAGTTTGCGTAGACTCTTTTCGTTGTAGGACAACATGGAGAGACAAAAGGACAGATCACGCCACTGTCTCTCATTCCTACAAATATCAGGTGACATGTTAATGTTAGGATATACTGATAACTATTGTCCTTCAGACTATGATCAAGGATTTTCCTTTGTTTCCATTATAATGTAAAAGTCATTTTGATGATCGAGAGTAAAAAGAAGCATTCCAATAAGTCTCCAGTAAACAGCTGTAATGCTAATTGGGCCCAAATCTCTCTTTGTTGATTGTTCAATTGCTTTTAAAAGAAACTCTCATTTCTTATCATTTAAGATGTGTACAAATTTCCTTTGGGTAATGAGGACTTAACTGATGTACAGATGTAATAAAATGAATTATCTATAGAAGACTTTTCCTCAGTAAACACACCTGGCAGCCCGGAAGCGTTGACAGAGTTTCTCTACCAGACTCTCACACTGTCGATCCTTCTGTATGAAGGCAAACAAGTATCTGGAACAGACAACAATTCATGTTATACAACAACAAGATGAAAAGCTTTAATCTATAGTCCACATAAGTCAATCTATGTACTCATGATAACATGGATTAATGTTTTTTTCAATTATTTGAAACTACAAAGCAAATCAGATTAAGAACTATGTAAATATAAACTCACAATTTGCAATAAAGGAAATCTATAAAAGGGAATTTTAAGAAACTGTATAAGACGGTCATGAGTCTAGAATATTATGGATATGGAAGTTTCATAGCATCATTAACATTATTTTAACCTCAAACCTTTGAAACAATAAAAGCTATTACAGCCAATATTGTGAAAAAAATATTACACCCACATGACAAAAGACCTTTACAGTTGTGGCCTACCCTTTCCAGTTCACCTGTAGGAAGCGTACACCCTACCCCTTCCGGTTCACCTGTAGGAAGCTTATGCCCTACCCCTTCCAGTTCACCTGTAGGGAAGCGTATGCCCCCCCTTCCGGTTCACCTGTAGGAAGCGTATGCCCTACCCCTTCTGGTTCACCTGTAGGAAGCTTATGGAGATTGAGAAATACCTTCAGCAGTCAACATTGTGCTTTCATTAAAAACTTAAAAACACATATTTAAGATAGCATGCTTAAATATGCATGTGATTCCTGCTATTAAGAATTTAACATTAGAAAGGAAGTATACCTGAGTATTGTTCTGAAGTGCTCCTCGTCTACTCCGACGTCGGGATCAGAAAGACGACTGATTAGATCGGGCATAATGTTGTAGATGGCATTTCCCTGAAAAAATATTATTATAAATTCATTAACTTCCTTTGATATTTTATCTTTCAGTAAATTCACAAAATTCAACTGTTTTTGAAAATGACGTGATTCGCAGCAATGAATCTTAGTTCGGTTTGAATTAATTTCATTGCAAAGTGTAAACAAAAGACAAATGTAGCTGACAAAAGTTATTACAACTTAATTATGTCCTTTCCGTAACAAATACATATATACAAAATTAGTGTGTCACACAATAGCTTAAAAATGTGGTTTTTTAAGTACATTTTAAAGTTAAAGCAATAAAACTAGTTCTATAGTAAATAAAAATTACATTTCTATTACAACTCTTGATATTATCTACCTTTTTAGACAACTCGGTGAAGAATATTTTGGCCGAACTGGAGATTTTTTCGTTGTGGTCCACCAAGCATGTGGCCATTTCACTGATCTGACCCTTCACTTTCACCATGTCATCCAGTATGAGGTGTGTGAGAACCTGCAGTGTGTTCTGTCTCACCAACGTCGACTCGTCCCGCAATCTGTAGGGGAAACACGTTGTATATACTAATGCATCTGTTGTGTACCTATTTTTACTTGTAGAACAGATCTTGTGTAATCATAGTCCGAGTATGATCTTTAAACTAGAGAGAGTAATATAATCCAAGTATTATTTTGACTTTGATTTATATTTGTAACAACAGGGGGGTGGAGACCCAACATTCCTGCAAGGAAAACAGTTCCATAGTGGCGGTAGGGATCCTGGGGTGGATACCTTAATGGTGTTCAACAGTGCTCATCAGGGAAAGCAGAGCATGTGTAGAAATGATGAGCAACAACACCACTGAATCCAGTACAAAATGTAACGTTTGATTTACATCCGATGTTATTTGTTTTCAACGTGAGCAGTATACCTGGTGTCTATGAGAGGGAGTTAATACCTGGCATATATGCGTGGGGTCCAGGGTTCAATCATGTTTGGGAAACGGAAGGTGAGGTCACCGAGGGCGATGATGATGTTCGCCCTGATTGTAGCGTGGGAGGTCTTCTCTAGGATGGTAAATAACAGCTGTAGGTGGGTGTCACAGAATTCAGAACTGAAATAAATAAACAGAACAAATATAATTACAGTGTACATCAATTCATATATGGTTTGGTCATAACATTTTGATCGACACTGGATATAATTTCACCAACAATTCAGATCATATCAGATCTGGTTTTAGTCAAAACCTGTACGATGCAGGATTATATGGGGAATGCAAGAACCCTCTACAGAATCAGATTTTTTAAAACCATAAAGACTAAGTAAATAAATAGTCAAAACCTATTCACAAGATAAGATATGGTTTGGATAAAACCCATCTGACAGCTACTATCACTCTGTTCCTCATGCCAAATGTGAACCATTGATATTAATCTTGAGCTCATTCAAATATATCTTGGACCATATCTCCTTCCTCAATATGTGAATGTTTGTCTTTCAAAAATGTGTAGCCAGTGTGGCAGGGTTCAATTGTACATAGGATTACGGTCGCCTTCTAGCTTCGAACTAGAGGGAATTTCCCTTTAGCTCAGTGGTAGAGCGTCGGACTAGGAACCTGGAGATCGAGGGTTCGATCCCCGGTGGAAGCACACTATTTTCTTTCCTGTTACACCTTTATATTTGATTTGATTGAGTTTGTATAAAAGCAATTATCCTATTGTAATATTTTAGGGTATACTGCTACATATCACAATATATTTCATTCATATAAATTCAGTGTATCATTTGTAAAGGAAACAGAAAGTTAGCATTAGTTCAAGTTTGAATGATAGATTTAAATTATCTTATAGAATTTTGGAAGTTATCAAACAAAGCATGTTTTAATAATATCAATTCAATTTTAACATTTTTAATTCATGTATTGGCATTGCAATAGTATCGCCCCTCCATAACATGTATTTACCTGACCATCATGAACTTGGAGAGAGCTAGTGACGCGGCGGTCTGTAGTTCAGGGTCTGAATACTTGGCCTGATTGGTACATACAGCCACAATAACAGGAGCCAGGGCACCTAGTAGAGTTTTACCTTAAAACAAACAATATACAGTCAAAAATAAAGCTAATCACGATGACAGAAGCCAGGGCATCTAGTAGAGTTTTACCTTAAAACAAATAATATACAGTCAAAAATAAAGCTAATCACGATTACAGGAGCCTGGGCACCTAGTAGATTTACCTTAAAACAAATAATATACAGTCAAAAATACAGCTAATCACCAAGACAGGAGCTGGGGCATGTGGTAGACTTTTACCTTAAAAGCAAATTATGTACTGTCAAAATTACAGCTAATCAAGAATGGCAGGAACCAGGCTTTGAGAATATATTAAAGGACATACCAGTGACGATGTCCCTCTCACAGACTTTACGGATATATTCTGCCTCTGCATCCTCAGCAGCTGCGCCTGCTAAACCTAACTCCTCCTCAATGGCCTCAGAAGCGCTACTCTCCTGTCAGGGTAGTAAAATAATTATTTAAAGTGTACGTATGCTTGAGTAGGGCTGTCCAAAATTTCAAACTCTGGTAAACTAGTTATTTTCAGCTTGTATTCATAAGATCAATATAACTACTGATATTGTCAAAGAATCAGAAATAAAGAATGATTCATTTACCCTTTTTAAACGTATTTTTACTCAGCCATCACTGGAAACACAGGCAGTTTTTTGTGGGACACAATAATCAGTGAAAACATAATATCATTGTTACAGTTTTACGGTAAATTAGAAAAAAAATCGCGATCTGGAAATGCTCTCACTATTCGTGTTAAGTAAACTTGACGAAAAATATATTAATATTAATGCATTTCATAGATAATGGGCAAAGAATAAATAGGATTCAGAGCCACTGCCAATGTTAAAATTCCTAAACCGTGATCAGTTTAAAGATCTCTGATCAAAGTATAGCTGACATTCTGATATAAAAGATTGTATTTGTTATACCACAACCTATCTCTGAGGGGAAAAACTTGATGTCCTGAGGGTGTTTTTAATCATAAAATATTTAAATTTCGGAACTGCTAATAAGTACTGAAACGTGAGTAGCTATTGCTGTGTACTTACTCGGGCTTTCTTGTTTTGTCGAGCTGGAGTTTTGCCGGAATCTTCCTTGCTAGCGCGGCGGCGCTTGAGTTCGTCTAGAACATCACTCTCAAGGTAAACCATCTGACTAAAGGCCACCTGTCCAGCCAGTGACAGGACACGGGTCAGCACCACCACAGACTTCTGACTGACCTCCACGGACGGGCCAGTGTCTGCAAACAAATAAGTTGTACACGTTCTAACGAGTGTGTTGTGGACATTTTATATATGGACTCTGAATGTTAGGCTATTTAAGTCCTAATAGCTACAGTTTTACAGGTATGACCACTTATGTTCTGATGATATATGTAGTATCAGAGAGTATGTTAAGGGTGGTCACAGGTAAAGTTTTAGAAGTAGAAAAGATGAACCCTGGTAATATCAAACTCAGATTCCTTTATTGACAAATTTGTACGCTGAATAGGTTCCGTCACAGATAATTTTATTATCAGCATTTACCATGACAGGTCGTATTTTTTATGGCAAAAATAACTTTTTTTTTCAACAAGTAAGTGCAGTGCAAGTAGAAAAGTTGATATTTTTTAAGATATCTCACCTGTCTGGGTATCTGTGGGTGTGTCACTAGCTGTATCCGTGGTTGTGTTGCTAGCTGTATCTGTGGGTGTGTCACTAGCTGTATCCGTGGGTGTGTCGCTAGCTGTATCCATGGGTGTGTCACTTGGTTTATCTGCCTCATTAACTCTCTGGAACTCGTTGATGACCTTGCGGATGATTTCCCCGCACACAGCATCAGGATGATTAGAAAGCTTGTAGATGACTTTGACAGCTTGCTCTGCTAGTGGGATCCAGTATCTGTTCTCCACATCAGCAACACCTGTATCAGGACAAAATATGTTATAGGTAGGACACTGTGTGGTATCTTCATTGTAAACTATCATACCTAGGAAATCTTGTTTCTTGCATCTAACCAAATTATAAGGTAGTTTCTTCCTTAATTATTTAGGTGTAAAACATTCTCCCCCTCCCCCAACCTCAAATCAATAAAACAATGTCCATGGAGCAAGGAAAGTCAATAAAACATGTATCTACATTATATGGACCATCAGGCTCAATCATTTCCGAAGAAATTACCATGAGCAAACACAAATGTGCCTTGTATTGTTGTTGTTAAGGTACACTCTGCCTTAAATTAAAAAAACATTTTGAAGAAAGAGAAGTAATACATGATTAATATTTTAGTAATACTAAATGAATTTTAAAAAAAGAGGTAATATTGTCATTTACCAGATGGAATGTTTGGTATTTTAAAGAATTTCCAAAACAGTCTAATTATTATGCAATAATAGAAAAAAGGTTACAACAATCAAAACGACTTTCATGCAGAAGAAAATACATTCAATATGCCTCAAAAGATACCATGCCATTGCGCATGTAAACTTCTATAAGATATATCAGCTCAGAAATATGAAATATCAAAGTTTTACTTTATACACAATCAATGTACGTATTAAACGTGTCATAACGTCTCAGGACAGACTGGTCTCGGTGTCAAGACTGACAAAGAGACCAGTTGGTCTGAAATGTTGCGACGTGTTTAATCCCTTCATTGTTTGTGTATAAAGTTTACTTTGATACGTAAATTTCATCATTATTCCTCGAAATGAGACTGTGTTATGATTATAATATATGATATGGTTATCGTGCAGTTAGCTGACCTTTGACGAGGATGTGTGACAGTCTGGTAAACATGTCGTGGTCCTGGGGCAGACGGAACGGCTTACCAGCCACCTGGCCCTTCATCTAAAACAAAACATGGAAAATGTTATCCAGAACATTCCTATAATGTCAGAAAATATAATACACTGGATTACAGTTTCCAAACAGGAAGAAATCTCATTGAGTCACAACGTCACAATGCACCTAGCTACATTATAAGCTTGTTGTTGCTATGTATTGTCATGTTATTTTTCAACAACAGCCTTTAAACTACATGTGCACCCCTGAAATATGTCATAGCAAAATTGAAGGCGCTATGCTAGTTATTTGATAGAAGATTAAAAAGGAGCAGCACCCGACTAAAAGCCAGTTAATTTTACCGTTAGGTGGCCACCAGATTCTTTTGATGTACATCAAAGGATCAAACTAGACTTCTAGTCTCATCCAAAAGGTGACACACACTGAGCCTTTACTTTTGTCATGACATATTCCTGGGGTGCAGAGAGTGTAAGTGAGTGTATCCCTGGAGTATCGAGAGTTGAGTTACGATTGAAATACTGGTTATATGTAATGATAAATATATCATTTGTAATTATTACTTTTTATGACTTAATTCTTTTAAAGGTAAAAACTGTATATGTAAGACAATAAAAAAAACAGTCTAATAGCTATTCCATTTGTAATACATGCTAATACATACCCTCTTTGAGTTTGAGAGTTTGAGGAGTGCCAGACAGGTGTCTCGGGCAAGCATGAAGTCGGACTCAGCTCGTGGTCCTAGTCCCTCACTGACCATCACGTTGATGTTACTCCGCACCACTGTGTTATCAGCCCTGGAAAAACACAACCAGATGTTTCGTATATAAATACAATTGATGACAGTTTTACATTGTAAACTATGAAGTAAGGGAGGAGGGGCAATCTGAACAATGAAAAAAGATATTCAAGTGCAATCTATGGTATTAATCATGTGTACTAAGTTTCATAAAAAACTGGTTGAGAAGGTAAGCTGCTATAGCCACGGTGCATCAGACAAACGTCCATGCCATTATGGGTCTCGGTTAAGGCGTCTGACTGTCTATCACTTCACCACTGGTCCCAGGTTTGTGGCTCTGTTAAGGCGTCTGACTGTCTATCACTTCTCCACTGGTCCCAGGTTTGTGGCTCTGTTAAGGCGTCTGACTGTCTATCACTTCTCCACTGGTCCCAGGTTTGTGGCTCTGTTAAGGCGTCTGACTGTCTATCACTTCACCACTGGTCCCAGGTTTGTGGCTCTGTTAAGGCGTCTGACTGTCTATCACTTCACCACTGGTCCCAGGTTTGTGGCTCTGTTAAGGCGTCTGACTGTCTATCACTTCACCACTGGTCCCAGGTTTGTGGCTCTGTTAAGGCGTCTGACTGTCTATCACTTCACCACTGGTCCCAGGTTTGTGGCTCTGTTAAGGCGTCTGACTGTCTATCACTTCACCACTGGTCCCAGGTTTGTGGCTCTGTTAAGGCGTCTGACTGTCTATCACTTCACCACTGGTCCCAGGTTTGTGGCTCTGTTAAGGCGTCTGACTGTCTATCACTTCACCACTGGTCCCAGGTTTGTGGCTCTGTTAAGGCGTCTGACTGTCTATCACTTCACCACTGGTCCCAGGTTTGTGGCTCTGTTAAGGCGTCTGACTGTCTATCACTTCACCACTGGTCCCAGGTTTGTGGCTCTGTTAAGGCGTCTGACTGTCTATCACTTCACCACTGGTCCCAGGTTTGTGGCTCTGTTAAGGCGTCTGACTGTCTATCACTTCACCACTGGTCCCAGGTTTGTGGCTCTGTTAAGGCGTCTGACTGTCTATCACTTCACCACTGGTCCCAGGTTTGTGGCTCTGTTAAGGCGTCTGACTGTCTATCACTTCACCACTGGTCCCAGGTTTGTGGCTCTGTTAAGGCGTCTGACTGTCTATCACTTCACCACTGGTCCCAGGTTTGTGGCTCTGTTAAGGCGTCTGACTGTCTATCACTTCACCACTGGTCCCAGGTTTGTGGCTCTGTTAAGGCGTCTGACTGTCTATCACTTCACCACTGGTCCCAGGTTTGTGGCTCTGTTAAGGCGTCTGACTGTCTATCACTTCACCACTGGTCCCAGGTTTGTGGCTCTGTTAAGGCGTCTGACTGTCTATCACTTCACCACTGGTCCCAGGTTTGTGGCTCTGTTAAGGCGTCTGACTGTCTATCACTTCACCACTGGTCCCAGGTTTGTGGCTCTGTTAAGGCGTCTGACTGTCTATCACTTCACCACTGGTCCCAGGTTTGTGGCTCTGTTAAGGCGTCTGACTGTCTATCACTTCACCACTGGTCCCAGGTTTGTGGCTCTGTTAAGGCGTCTGACTGTCTATCACTTCACCACTGGTCCCAGGTTTGTGGCTCTGTTAAGGCGTCTGACTGTCTATCACTTCACCACTGGTCCCAGGTTTGTGGCTCTGTTAAGGCGTCTGACTGTCTATCACTTCACCACTGGTCCCAGGTTTGTGGCTCTGTTAAGGCGTCTGACTGTCTATCACTTCACCACTGGTCCCAGGTTTGTGGCTCTGTTAAGGCGTCTGACTGTCTATCACTTCACCACTGGTCCCAGGTTTGTGGCTCTGTTAAGGCGTCTGACTGTCTATCACTTCACCACTGGTCCCAGGTTTGTGGCTCTGTTAAGGCGTCTGACTGTCTATCACTTCACCACTGGTCCCAGGTTTGTGGCTCTGTTAAGGCGTCTGACTGTCTATCACTTCACCACTGGTCCCAGGTTTGTGGCTCTGTTAAGGCGTCTGACTGTCTATCACTTCACCACTGGTCCCAGGTTTGTGGCTCTGTTAAGGCGTCTGACTGTCTATCACTTCACCACTGGTCCCAGGTTTGTGGCTCTGTTAAGGCGTCTGACTGTCTATCACTTCACCACTGGTCCCAGGTTTGTGGCTCTGTTAAGGCGTCTGACTGTCTATCACTTCACCACTGGTCCCAGGTTTGTGGCTCTGTTAAGGCGTCTGACTGTCTATCACTTCACCACTGGTCCCAGGTTTGTGGCTCTGTTAAGGCGTCTGACTGTCTATCACTTCACCACTGGTCCCAGGTTTGTGGCTCTGTTAAGGCGTCTGACTGTCTATCACTTCACCACTGGTCCCAGGTTTGTGGCTCTGTTAAGGCGTCTGACTGTCTATCACTTCACCACTGGTCCCAGGTTTGTGGCTCTGTTAAGGCGTCTGACTGTCTATCACTTCACCACTGGTCCCAGGTTTGTGGCTCTGTTAAGGCGTCTGACTGTCTATCACTTCACCACTGGTCCCAGGTTTGTGGCTCTGTTAAGGCGTCTGACTGTCTATCACTTCACCACTGGTCCCAGGTTTGTGGCTCTGTTAAGGCGTCTGACTGTCTATCACTTCACCACTGGTCCCAGGTTTGTGGCTCTGTTAAGGCGTCTGACTGTCTATCACTTCACCACTGGTCCCAGGTTTGTGGCTCTGTTAAGGCGTCTGACTGTCTATCACTTCACCACTGGTCCCAGGTTTGTGGCTCTGTTAAGGCGTCTGACTGTCTATCACTTCACCACTGGTCCCAGGTTTGTGGCTCTGTTAAGGCGTCTGACTGTCTATCACTTCACCACTGGTCCCAGGTTTGTGGCTCTGTTAAGGCGTCTGACTGTCTATCACTTCACCACTGGTCCCAGGTTTGTGGCTCTGTTAAGGCGTCTGACTGTCTATCACTTCACCACTGGTCCCAGGTTTGTGGCTCTGTTAAGGCGTCTGACTGTCTATCACTTCACCACTGGTCCCAGGTTTGTGGCTCTGTTAAGGCGTCTGACTGTCTATCACTTCACCACTGGTCCCAGGTTTGTGGCTCTGTTAAGGCGTCTGACTGTCTATCACTTGCCCTTCACCACTGGTCCCAGGTTTGTAGCTCTGTTAAGGCGTCTGACTGTCTATCACTTCACCACTGGTCCCAGGTTTGCGGCCTACATATGGAGCATTTGCCAGGTACTGACCACAGGTGGTTTTTCTCTGGACAGTTTGGTTTTCCTCCACCACCAAAACCTGGCTTGTCCTTAAATGACCATAGCTGTTAATAGGACGTAAAACACAAACAAACCAAATTCATCCAAGTACACCCCTTGCCCCTAACTTGTGGGATAAATTGTGATGGTGTCAATATGAATAAGATAAATATGACTGGTTGGAATACCATCGACAAAATATTTCCCTTGAGTAACATACCCTGCAGCCATAGACAGAAGCAAGATCGCAGCTCGGCTGTCCTCAGCTGATGTGTCTGGGATTTTCAGTGTGAACCGTTCCCACAGAATTTTCATCACAGTGCTTTCTAGGTCTCCTGTCTTCATCAGCTCCATCATCTACAACACAAACCCTCGCTTTAGGACTTCATTTATCAACTGTAGTATTTTATAATTTTGTATCTGTTTTTTGTATTTTTTTATACTTATGCTTATTAAGCTTGTTGCAAGAATAGCACTGCAGTGCTAATGTCTTCATGTTGTTCCTGTATGTGCCGTCAGATGAAATTGCTAAGCTCTCGACTCTATCCACGTAACCTTTTCCACTAGTATATAGAATGTGACATACCAAGCCTTCCAGAGACGTTAAATCTCCGATAGTAACACCGAACGTCAGAGCTGACAGGTTCTTCACTACAGCCAGGGCACAAGCTCTGTAAAACACAACACACTGAGAAATAGTTAAACAATTCGTTACAGAAACAAGAGGCCCATGGAGCCTGCATCGCCCATCTACTATATTGAATTGTGTTGAGGGACAGGGCTTTGTATTGTGCACAATCCCATTCCTAATAAAAATAGGCAGTACAATATGTTGAAATTGATTGTGTTGACAACATTTATTTGAAGCCGAGCTGATAATTTCAGGCATTTAAGAGACTATACAATTTGGATTTCATCTTTCTCAAAACAACCTCAAATTTAAATAGCATTCACTTACTCAAGCTTGATCTTAAAATAGTAATTGGGACATGTTTTCAATGTAAATAAAGTCCTGGCTATTTTTTTTAATTAAATGTTACATCAAAAAGGTTTTATTGGAGAACGCACTCCTTTATTTAATTCTCTTTGATTGTTTGACTCGACTCCTAATATGTCTCTCTTGACCTTATTTCCCTAAGTTTCTCCTCTTTTCTGACCATTCCCTTGCCCTAGGACCTAGACCCCCATCATTGCTTACTTAACCCCTTTAACTACTAAGTCCTTCCTCGCTGACCTCTGACCTTTGACTGTTGCCTTCCGGAGATAGGTACATCTTTTTGTAAGCATCCACAACAGCGTCCTTCACACCTGATTCCTTGGACCAGATAAGTGGCAACATGCGCCGCACTCCCTGCATGGCTGAGGACAGACCAAACTTGAACCCAGTCACAAAGAATTCTACAGCTCCTAGGACATCAGATACATTCTCTGATCCCAACAGACGACAGATTACCGGAAAGGCTTTCTCTGTCTCCACAGCAAAGGCCAGTGTGTCCTGTTTGTAAATAAGTGTTATAACAATTCATAAGGATAGTATGATTATAACATCAAAGCCGTTTCAACCATACATAAAACTTGTGTTATCAATTAGTTATCAATATGATTGAAATCAGGCATTTAACCTAAGATAAGTAACGAGCACTCTCACTCTGACAGGTACACTTACCCTTAGGTACCAGACGAGCACTCTCACTATGACAGACACACTTACCCTTAGGTACCAGACGAGCACTCTCGCTATGACATGCACACTTACCCTTAGGTACCTGGTGAGCACTCTCACTATGACAGACACACTTACCCTTAGGTACCAGACGAGCCCTCTCAGTATGACAGGCACACTTACCCTTAGGTACCAGGTGAGCACTCTCGATATGACAGGCACACTTTCCCTTAGGTACCAGACGAGCACTCTCAGTATGACAGGTACACTTACCCTTAGGTACCAGGTGAGCACTCTCGATATGACAGGCACACTTACCCTTAGGTACCAGACGAGCACTCTTACTCTGACAGGTACTTACCCTTAGGTACCAGACGAGCACTCTCACTATGACAGGAACACTTACCCTTAGGTACCAGACGAGCACTCTCGCTATGACAGGTACACTTACCCTTAGGTACCAGACGAGCACTCTCAGTATGACAGGCACACTTACCCTTAGGTACCAGGTGAGCACTCTCGATATGACAGGAACACTTACCCTTAGGTACCAGACGAGCACTCTCGATATGACAGGTACACTTACCCTTAGGTACCAGACGAGCACTCTCAGTATGACAGGTACACTTACCCTTAGGTACCAGGTGAGCACTCTCGATATGACAGGAACACTTACCCTTAGGAACCAGGTGAGCACTCTTGATATGACAGGCACACTTACCCTTAGGTACCAGATGAGCACTCTCACTATGACATGCACACTTACCCTTAGGTACCAGACGAGCACTCTCGCTATGACAGGTACACTTACCCTTAGGTACCAGACGAGCACTCTTACTCTGACAGGTACTTACCCTTAGGTACCAGACGAGCACTCTCAGTATGACAGACACACTTACCCTTAGGTACCAGACGAGCACTCTCAGTATGACAGGCACACTTACCCTTAGGTACCAGACGAGTACTCTCAGTATGACAGGCACACTTACCCTTAGGTACCAGACGAGCACTCTCACTATGACAGGTACACTTACCCTTAGGTACCAGACGAGCACTCTTACTCTGACAGGTACTTACCCTTAGGTACCAGACAAGCACTCTCGCTATGACAGACACACTTACCCTTAGGTACCAGGTGAGCACTCTCACTATGACAGGCACACTTACCCTTAGGTACCAGGCGAGCACTCTCGCTATGCTACACTTACCCTTAGGTACCAGGCGAGCTCTCTCACTATGACAGGCACACTTACCCTTAGGTACCAGGTGAGCACCTGTTGTTTTGACACATCACTGACCACTCCACATTGGTCCTCGGACATTTGACTTTGAACAGCTTCTGCTGCCAGCTCTAAGTTACCTCTCCTCTGTCCTGTAAAATAGTTTTATTTATTATCTCTCAGGCAACACAAGTTACCACTCCTAGGGCCCCTTTCGTGTATCCAGGTTGAAGCGGTTCAGGTGGTGCAGAAATATTCCATGATAAACAGACGCACTTGGACCGAACTGTAGACAGAGCTAAGAAATGCACAGTTTCGGAGATAATTAACAATATACATAAAGAATAATATGTCTTTCTATTAAGCGTCCACTAAATTATATAACGTTTTTTCAAATCTACATGTGGATTGACCTTGTTTTATAAAGAACTAATGCAAACTAGCAATAGTCAGCATTTTAGTTTCTGTCAGCCTCAGTTCAGATCTGCGCCTGTCGTTTTCTTTCAGGTTGAACCGGATATGCGAAAGGGGCCTAGGTCTTGTAAATTATAAGCTATTACCTACCCTTGCACAAAATACCACAAATTTACCTGCATCAAAACTGCATTATCTTACAACACTCTTGCTGACATCAAGCGCCACTGATATAATTATTTTTAAAAACAAACAATCAATCAAGTTTATCATGAAGAATCTGAAACTTGACAATGTGAACCATATGAAATACTCACTCATAAATATTTTTTTAAGACACTGTATAATGTCTGAGCCGTCTCCCTGAGATGAGTCTTGTGAATCCGTTCTGTTGGATAAGGCAATAACACATCCCATTATCATGTGCACATTGTTGAATGTCAAGTGAAAAATCAAAATTTAACTCACATCCAAATTGATTGTTGGCTGTAAATTTGGTTGTGCCAAAATAAGGCAGCGCAATGGTATCTTGTTAGATTACAATATCCAGTATGTTCTTAAACATGCAGATTTTCTCTCCCTGCTTTTTTTTTACATAAATAAGTTGCCAATTTATACTTTACCAGCACCAAAAGCTTTTTTCTTCACTTTCCTATGATCTTCAATATGTTTCATCAAATATATTTTAGGTACATCTTTTTCCAACCAAACAATGTCTTAAAAATATTATTTTTTACAGTTTAATTTTTTTTTTCAAGTATGGTTATCATTTTAAATTGCTGATAATGAACAATTGATGAAGAAATCCAAGATAAACCCCATGTTTTGTACAACCTTTCACTCTGCTGAGAGGCCTCTTGTGTAAGGTCAGGGTAGGTTGCCACCATTGCGGTCATCAGCTTGTGGGCAGCACACCGCTTCTCTTCCATCAGAAGGGTCATCACTCTCTCTGTCACACTAGAAAAGTAAAAAAAACATGTTTAGAGTAGAACCTGGAGACACAATAACTGTTTATGGACCAAAGCCTACAAATCCTGTGAACACATCAATGTTATGTAGTAATTCGTGACCTTGTAAATGTTTAATAACTAATGCTGAAATTTAGTTTAAAACCCATATTACATATTATCATACCTCTAGTGAAAATCCTGTATTCTGATTGAATTCATAAGTACATATATGAATATTTGTCAAACTTTTACCGTACATTTGTACAAAACTCCCCTTTACAATACTTAGGGCTGTTCCAGAGTTAACCATAGGGGAGGGGGGTTAGAGATCCCCCCACAAATAAAATCTTAGAATTTTTTAAATATAAGTAATGGTAGGTAGGTCTGGTTTTAACCCCACCACCTGTAATATAAGTAATGGTAGGCAGATCTGGTTTTAACCTCACCACGCGTAATATAAGTAATGGTAGGTAGATCTGGTTTTAACCCCACCACCTGTAATATAAGTAATGGTAGGTAGATCTGGTTTTAACCCCATCACCTGTAATATAAATAATAGTAGGTAGATCTGGTTTTAACCCCACCACCTGTAATATAAATAATGGTAGGTAGATCTGGTTTTAACCCCACCACCTGTAATATAAGTAATGGTGGTTAGATCTCGTTTTAACCCCACCAACTGTAATATAAGGAATGGTTGGTAGATCTGGTTTTAACCCCACCACCCGTAATATAAGTAATGGTGGTTAGATCTGGTTTTAACCCCACCACCCGTAGTATAAGTAATGGTAGGTAGATCTGGTTTTAACCCCACCACCCATTATATATTAATATGGTGCCCCATACAATAAATTATGGAATAGTCCTAAACACATTTACATGATAATTAGTAAAGTTTTGAAACCCACCTGTCCGGAGTGTCCTCATCAGTGATAAGAGGATCGGAGGGTTTAGTTTGTGATCCTTCCTCTTCTTCCTTCTCCTCAGTGTCCTGTGATTCTCCCTCGTCGAGGAGTGCCTCACTTATCTTTATCTCCATCACGCGCCAGTCAGCCTCCAGCTTTCCTAGTATTGGGTTTCCTATTACAAAGGGTAGATAATTTACTATTATATAGTTACTATCAGATGCTTACAATGTGTTTGAAACTACCTCTACACCAGAAAGCAGCAAAACAATCAATCTGATTAAAATCATCTGTTACATGGCTCTGCCTGAACATCTGAATGTGCCGCGGTCAGGGTCACGTTCAAGTGACCTTTAGATGAGTCAATCAGAGGCGCACTGGCAAAAGTTTGCCAGGGAATCGGAATATCATGGTTGATAGATAAATAGCAAGGGGTATCAAACAGATTAGTTTTCCAAAACAAATATGGCGGTGGGAACTGAAGTTTCTATGACGCCAAGGAAAACATACCCATTGGGTAATAATTGCGTAGGCAACACCGCCATACAGTCTTTCTTCTCTAATAAAGCTTCGAATATCTTTTTCTGTTCGGGTTTCAGACGATCAATCCCAAATAACCTCAGAACTTTCGCATCATTCCCATCAATGTCCGCCATATTTGTTACAACTCCGAGCGCCCTTTTGAAAGAGGGTCTCTGATTGGTCAAAATTTAATGAGTATATATAGATATAAAGGTCACCTGAACGTGACCTTGACCGCGGCACACTCAAATGATTTTAATCAGATTGCATAACAATAAAAGTAAAGCAAAACATGGCAATAATTCCCCTTCCGATGCAAAGCTGCAATATTGAATTATATATTTTTCAAATTAGATTATATCAGTAACATCTGCGAACAAGTGATCAACAAATAAACTATCAATGTTCAGTAGTTTAAAATAATCAAAGTCTATAGCAGTAATGGGCTTTAAGGGACACAAACCTTGTCCACCATTTTCCTCCTCCTCCTCCTTCATCATCTGTTTCAATTTTTCTGCCTCATTTTCATAATTCTGTTCCAATTCTTTCACCGAAAACTGTATTGTGATTGAAATATTTCACCAGATCAATTTACAAGTATGATTCATGTATATTTTATTTGGGTATAACTAAAGAAAAGTTGATTGATAGAGAAAACAATAATAAATATTTCATCAAAATTGGCTGAAGATCCAGGTTTCTTAGCAGTATTATTCTACAAAATCCCTTAAACAAACTGTAACATATTAAGACTTTATAGTTATTCAGCAGCTAATTATTAAATAGACTATAAAATACAGATTTCCTGAAGAGTTTCTAAAAGAATGAAGGAAAATTATCTTGTCTTGTCATGTTCCTAATCCGAGAGATTCTACAGATTTGTAGGAAAACATAGAAACATACCTTAGCTGCATAGGGGTTACACTTGAACAGGTTGGTGACCAACAGGAGTGCTTGCTTGCGGACTGAACTGGACTTGTCTTGGAGTCGACCAACGACCAGAGTGGTCAAACTGACCTGTCGACTCAGCGGGAGGCACTAGAAAACCATGTATGTAATAATTAGAGAACTCTGTCATGTGTCTGTACATATAGGACAGGGAAATTCTACATTCACCCTCAGGTTTATGGTTACCTAACTCTGTCGCGTGTCTGTACATATAGGACAGGGAAATTCTACGTGCACCCTCAGGTTTATGGTTACCTAACTCTGTCATGTGTTTTACATATAGGACAGGGAAATTGTACGTTCACCCTCAGGTTTATGGTTACCTAACCCTGTCATGTGTCTGTACATAAAGGACAGGGAAATCCTACGTTCACCCTCAGGTTTATGGTTACCTAACTGTCATGTGGCTGTACATATAGGACAGGGAAATTCTACGTTCACCCTGAGGTTTATGGTTACCTCACTGTCATGTGTCTGTACATATATGACAGGGAAATTCTCCGTTCGCCCTCAGGTTTATGGTTACCTAACTCTGTCGTGTGTGTCTGTACATATAGGACAGGGAAATTCTACATTCACCCTCAGGTTTATGGTTACCTAACTCTGTCACATGTCTGTACATATAGGACAGGGAAATTCTACGTTCATCCTCAGGTTTATGGTTACCTAACTGTCATGTGTCTGTACATATAGGACAGGGAAATTCTACATTCACCCTCAGGTTTATGGTTACCTAACTCTGTCGTGTGTCTGACCATACATGACAGGGAAATTCTACGTTCACCCTCAGGTTTATGATTACCTAACTCTGTCATGTGTCTGTACATAAAGGACAGGGAAATTCTACGTTCACCCTGAGGTTTATGGTTACCTCACTGTCATGTGTCTGTACATATATGACAGGGAAATTCTACGCTCCCCCTCAGGTTTATCGTTACCTAACTCTGTCGTGTGTCTGTGTATATAGGACAGGGAAATTCTACGTTCACCCTCAGATTTATGGTTACCTAACTCTGTCATGTGTCTGTACATAAAGGACAGGGAAATTCTACGTTCACCCTGAGGTTTATGGTTACCTAACTCTGTCATGTGTCTGTACATAAAGGACAGGGAAATTCTACGTTCATCCTCAGGTTTATGGTTACCTAACTGTCATGTGTCTGTACATATATGCCAGGGAAATTCTACGTTCACCCTCAGGTTTATGGTTACCTATCTGTCATGTGTCTGTACATATAGGACAGGGAAATTCTACGTGCACCCTCAGGTTTATGGTTACCTAACTCTGTCATGTGTTTTACATATAGGACAGGGAAATTGTACGTTCACCCTCAGGTTTACGGTTACCTAACCCTGTCATGTGTCTGTACATAAAGGACAGGGAAATTCTACGTTCATCCTCAGGTTTATGGTTACCTAACTGTCATGTGTCTGTACATATATGCCAGGGAAATTCTACGTTCACCCTCAGGTTTATGATTACCTAACTCTGTCATGTGTCTGTACATAAAGGACAGGGAAATCCTACGTTCACCCTCAGGTTTATGGTTACCTAACTCTGTCATGTGTCTTTACATATAGGACAGGGAAATTGTACGTTCACCCTCAGGTTTACGGTTACCTAACCCTGTCATGTGTCTGTACATAAAGGACAGGGAAATTCTACGTTCACCCTCAGGTTTATGGTTTCCTAACTCTGTCACATGTCTGTACATATATGACAGGGAAATTCTACGTTCACCCTCAGGTTTACGGTTACCTAACCCTGTCATGTGTCTGTACATAAAGGACAGGGAAATTCTACGTTCACCCTCAGGTTTAGGGTTACCTAACTCTGTCACATGTCTGTACATATAGGACAGGGAAATTCTACGTTCACCCTCAGGTTTATGGTTACCTAACTCTGTCGTGTGTCTGTACATATAGGACAGGGAAATTCTACATTCACCCTCAGGTTTATGGTTACCTATCTGTCATGTGTCTGTACATATAGGACAGGGACATTCTACGTTCACCCTCAGGTTTATGGTTACCTAACTCTGTCGTGGGGCTGTACATATAGGACAGGGAAATTCTACGTTCCCCCTCAGGTTTATGGTTACCTAACTCTGTCGTGTGTCTGCGTATATAGGACAGGGAAATTCTACGTTCACCCTCAGGTTTAGGGTTACCTAACTCTGTCGTGTGTCTGTACATATATGACAGGGAAATTCTACGTTCACCCTCAGGTTTATGGTTACCTAACTCTGTCGCGTGTTTGTGTATGTAGGACAGGGAAATTCTACGTTTACCCTCAGATTTATGGTAACATAGCATATTTCTATGTGACTGTTTTTACACAATGCATTTCCATCTTACAAAATTTCACCTGAGAAAAAAATATTAGTGCACAACCATGATTAGTTTGCAGTGTTATTTAATATTAAAAGCACTTTTCAACATCAGTCCCTGAAATGACAAGTCATTTGTAACACAATTGCAAAAAAGTGTGCCAAAAAACATTGTGACTGATGTTAAATACCATCATAAAGGACCCTTTTCACAAACATGTGTACAAACGATTTAACTTTTACTTTTGAAAAATAGTCAGCATCTTGGTAGCTGGTTCAGCTGGACATTTTGTTCAGCTTGATCAATTTTACAGCAATTACCTTTTCGTTCACTATTGCTGTCCAGATCTGCAGACATTTGCTCCTGACATAAGCATTAGTGTCGTGGACGTGATCCTGTAATACAACATAAGGCATATCAACACTTGACATTCATCACAATGTGTGGGGGGCTATTATATGTATCTCAGCGACAGAATAAGGGCAAAGTGAGATAAGTCTCACTGTTTAAGTATACCTCTTACTCTTCATACCATCTTGCATGTCTTCATTATACTTTCACTGTTCCCAACTGCAATTCATGTGACATTACCAGGGAAAATGCCAATGGAGGGCTGGGAGATTTCATAACTCCTACCTTTCATATGGGGTACTAAAATTTTTGCATGTTTGGCAAGGGGTTTATTTGAAGCAGTAATTTGATGATATTTTGTTAAATCTTAGAATGAGGTCAGGCCCAAGTTTCACAAATATTCCTTAATTTTTGTGAAGTGTTTTACTAACTTAACTTTTACTTTGGGAAAAACACAACATTTACTCTTTCAGTTCCACTCACAATGTAAGACATCAATAAAACAATGCATATTAATTATTCCTCAGGCTCATGTTAAAAAGGATATGTCAGGTAAAATAATATTTGGAAGATTTTTCATGAAACTTAACCCTGTCATTTTAACAAATCATCACTATGTCCTTATAAACTGGGACAACAATCCGTGTATCTCTACTTGAATAAAGATATTCTGTAGTTCTCACCTCCAAGTTGTCGAGGAACTGATCACGGGTGGCCTTGGTTTTGTCGTCCAGACCGTCCTTATTGAGAACCTTAATTAGTATCTCTCCAATCACACCGAGCACACAGTTCCTCATGATGTACGGCTCACTGTCGAGGTGACACAGCAACAGACTCATGTTGGGCAGCACAAACGCTGGGATCCTGTCAGCGATCTCCACCAGGAAGGTGGAACAGTTACGAGTTCCTGCAGAGTCCTTGACGGCATCCTCTGGAGCCAGACGCCCAATCTCTCTAAAGAATACACCAAATTTGTTAGTGTAAACATGCATCTTATTAATTTCTTTTCTCTTTTTTTTTAAACTGTCTTTATTTCGTTATGGTATTTCGAAATGATCTTGCAAATTGGGTTATTTATCCTGGCTAAGACATACACTTAACTCGAAATATATACATGTAAACACACTAAAGTAATAAAAGTACAAAAATCAAACAAATCTGTTCAGGTGTTAATCCTCCTAGCTACAGAATGTGATTTTAAGTAGAGAGGCTGGAGTAGAATAACTAGTTAACAGTTAACACTTAGCATTTGTTATTCATACCAAACTGATGAAACTCATCATTCCGATTAACTTGGTATATTACAATCTTAAAGAAAAGACATCAGACTTTTAAACGAATACAAAAGCTCAGATTTGATGATAGATTATGACTTTACCTTGTAATTTCACACAGAACTGTTTTGACCCCGAATTCCTCTGTGATGACCTGTAGTGTCTGGGCCAAGGGAACAACGAGATGTTCAAAGTGTTGGACCAACTGTACCACCTTCAGACTGCAGCCTACAGCCAATAGTAGTGTACAGCTTTAACTCACATCTTAGTATGTTAGTGTCCCAGATAATAGAGGTAGACTTAATAATGATTTACTGACAGAATTAATTTTTATGACTTTTCCTAAGAAATGCAGAACATACAGAAAAAGGTGTGCAGAAAGGCCTCTTGAAACAAATACAGTAAAACCCTGCTAACTCAAACTCGTGGGTCCAGATCAATAGTTCTAGGAAAACATGGTATTCGATGAATCTGGTTTTTTCCCAAATCGTCATACTTTTATCAGGTGGGACAACAGACAGAATGAGCACTGCAAATATCACGTATACTAGAGGATAGATACATGTCGATGGCACGCAGTAGGTGTGATAGGCAGGTGTGATATTCAGGTGTGATATGCAGTTGTGATACACAGGTGTGATACTCAGGTGTGATTACCTGTTTGACGAATGGATGGGTTAGATATTAAGGTTTTGAGTGGTTGGGGATAAATTCAGATTCAAAGAACATGGGGGTAATCGAGCAATGGCAGTTCCAGTAATCCAAGGTTAATTTACACAGAATATACACAATATAAGAACACAGTGGAGACCAAGGGAACTATTCGAGGAACGTATTCGAGTAATGCGAGTTTGATTAATTGGGGTTTCACTGTAGTTTGATAATATTACAAAATTTAAAATAGCATCTATTTATTTATTCATAAATAGTGCTGTAATTTTTTTTCATTAATGGTTAATGTTCAACAAACACAAATTTTGTTATCAATAACAATACCTGAATGATTTTTGCTTAGCTTAGAGACTAAGATATGTTGCACCAATTTTATCTTGATATTTAACACATTAGGTACCTACCCAGACTATGGTTGTAGCTTTTCACCATGACAGCTAAGATGTGATTCATCACTTGTCTTGTTTCCATGGCAGATGCATAAGCTAGTCCAGGATTCTCAAATAACTTGTAACAACAATTTGTAACCAGGCTAAAAGAAACAGAAAACATGTATCATCATCTACAACAACCATAATTATGTTTCATTAATTCTTGACAGAAAATTAAAAACAGAATCACAAATATTGTGTAGAAATACTTTATAACATTGCCCAAATCATAGCACCCTTGAAAGTTCAAAATATGAAACAATTTGCACTTCAATTGATCCTACCTATAAATAGACTCATAATCCTGGGCCCATACTATTTTTTTTCACTGATTTGGAAAGAACTTAAAGTGACTTAAGGCTGGATACTGTTTTCAAAATTTACATTTCACTTTTCAATTGTTTAACATGATTTAAGTGAGTTACAAGAAATCTGGTTTGAGCACAGAATCCATGCTTGAGCATGAAAATGGTTTCATGAATATGGTCCCAGATCTCAACATCGCTTAAAGTTTCTTCATACATTGTATAACCCTACATCTATCACATCTTAATACAAAAGAAGTGAATAACATGTTGGCCGTACTTGACAAACTCCTCATTAGGTATTGGCGGGTCCCACAGCCTGTGTATGTTGAGTGACACGAGATGAAGTAGGGCTTTAAGTCCCATCCCTCGCTCCTCATCCCAATCCATCCCTGTACTCCCCTTCTTTGATTTGTTGGACTTAGCACGGCCCTGCACAACAACACAGTCAGGGAAATACAATCTGCAGCTCTCGCTCTAATAATAAACTTTACAATTCTGTGACACTTTACATTAATTATGAAACAAGTTTGATCAACTTACATTGGCCCAGATGGAAGTGTACAGGGGATCGTATTGTGGGAGGAACAGGAATACCCTGGGAAAATTCACATGGTTGGGCAGGTGGCCCGATACCTTTTTACATCTGATTCAAGAATCAAACATGGCTGCATAAGCCATTGGTGAAAGCCAGTGCACTATCCACTGCACCACCCGACCATATTTCTCACCCGACCATATTTCTCACCCAACCATATTTCTCACCCGACCATATTTCTCTCACCCGACCATATTTCTCACCATATTTCTCACCCGACCATATTTCTTGAACTTTTAAAAAAAGGATATTGATGAAATTTGTGGCAGCTTGAACAGATATTTTTGACGACATTATTCTAATTATAAAATTTAAGAAATGTACAGTTTACAGTCTTCAGGGGAAATTTTCGTCCTTTGACGGTGAAATCCATTTTCACCTTTGATGGTAAAATCTATTTTCACCCAATATTAAATTCACCCTTCCATATTTGATAACTACATGTATGTATATTATGCTGTTTAAATTGGACCTCATTACAGAGAGTGAAAAAAGAAAAGAAAATTTAAGTGTAGTGAATTTTTGTTCTTGGATATAGAAAAGAATGTGAATTAACCATTCAAACAGTACTACTTACCTTTGCATTAACCAGCTGTGTAGCACTTGGTTTGGAGTCCTCTGCATCCAACATTTCCATGTACTGACACAGAAGGTAACAGACCATCTTGACCATATTGAGACTGGCTTTTTTCTCTTCCTTAACAGGGGGAGCATCTTCCAGAACATTTGCAAGGTCATTTGACAAGGATTTCGTAACTATTAAACAGCAAACAAATACTTCATGATCAAATCAAATTCAAAATGACATGAGACAAGGAATGAGATCCTTTATAAATACATAAAACATTTAGAAAACATTTATTTTCTATGTTTTGCCTCTTCATTAATTTTAATAGGTGACTATGAAAGTTTGAAACAGTAATCATATATATAACCTTGAAGTGAAATCAGTGTACTATTGATCAACAAATTAAATGTATAAAAATCACATTCTAAATAAAATTGAATATATAAATTTATCTTGTTTTTATGCAAATTAAGGTGTTAATAGATTTTTAAACATTAAAGCTGACAGTGCAAGTTAAAAATCTTTCAATTGAGATTTAAAAAATAAGTTTTATTTTTCTCTGGTTTTGAGATGTTCCCAGTGACAATTCTCTTCCGCCTGTCGTATCTAAGGAAGCGCTGACATTTTATAATGTACTTGCTTGGTAACGAGTATGGGTCTCGCTTGGTATAAAAAACACATCACCCATCAAACCGGTTATCATTTGTTCAATGTGTGCGCAAGGCGACACTACTATATATACTATAGATCACTTTCATGATTCTTTATCAACATTTTTTATCAGATCAGTTGAAGATATCAATTATCTAAGAAAGGTGGAAATAGTAGTAAAATTAAATACAACCAATTAAAATATCTAATGCACAGCCNCGACTAACGCTAATGCCTACTACCTTTTAGATATATAACCTCCTGTGTGAAAACAATACTAATTCCAACCATTTCCATGAGAACGGTTCAATTATCAAGTTTCACATTGTTGACAACACACCTGGGAGCGTCACATTTTGCATGTGTTTTGCTATAAAAGCACCTTCATGACGAGGACTAAGCGTTCATAATAAAGTTTTCGTGTGTGGGTGCAATTCTATGCACGTGAAAGACTGATGATATATATGGGATTTATAGAAGTATTTTCAGTAATATACTTTTTATTTTGGATACACAATTTTCGAGAAGTTGCCATAAGTAACAACCAGCTTGGCAGTGTTTCAAATACTTCAGGTGAGTGCATTTTATTTTTGATATCCTTGCTGACCAGGGTGCACGGTGCATTGAATTGTAAGACAGTCAGTTGTAGAATGATTACCAGTTTGACAGGTAATGCGCTTTTTATACCCAGCGAGACCCATACTAGTTACCAAGCAAGGACAAACTAAAATGTCAACACTTCCTTAGAAGCGATGGGAAGGTCTCAAAACCAGAAAATAAAACTTTTTTTTTTTGTATTACTCTCAATTGAAAGCTTCTAAGTTATGCACTGTCAGCTTTAACTAAGTTACTGATAATGGATTAAATGCATGTTATGTTTACTTCCTAAACTTTGTAAAAATTTAAACCATTGAAATTGACTCACTCTTCACAACAAGCTCCCAGGCATCCTCCTTCAGGTCCTGAGGAAGATCTTTTTGTAAGCTATAATAAATATATACAAATGTACTACGTGAAAAAAAATATATACAAACTCATATTGAGTGGAATAGTGCAATTACCAAAAAAAAAAGGAATTTTTTAAAAGGAAAACATCAATCCATGAAAATTACAAATGTTTTGCTTCTTTTTTATTTTTGGATTTCTACAGTACTAGTCATATTGTCATAATTCTATCTGAAACTCTGCGAGGAAAAAGCTTCCAATGCAGTTTTTTATTGTGTGTTACAGGGATCCTTGTTAATCTGTCGAAATATTTTTTAAGTATGATGTGGATCGGGATGATCAATAAGCTGAACTCTTCATCATAATCTTATTCTAGTAGTTTTTTTTCCTTTCCGCTCCCCATACCCAACAATATTTCATCATTTCTATAGGAAATTCATCATACTATTTAGGTTTTTTTCTTTCCTGTTATGAACTTAAATTTAAAATTAGGCTTTTCCAAGTTTACAGCTCACATTAGGAGTCTCTAAAGGGCTGAATCAACCTGGAATCAAACGATAAGAAACTTCCCTAATTTACTTTGTGATATTATACTTACCAAAGAACACTAAACAGGACGTCAAAATTCTCCAGAATTATGCGAGCACCATGAGCTCTGAGGTTTGTCTTCAGTTCTGTAAAATTTGAAGAAAAAAAAAAGAAATCAATAACTATTGTTTACCTTATAACACATTTATCCTACTGTAGTCTCTAGAGATAAAATGGTATGGCCATGATGTGATAACTTAAAATTGGCAGTGACAATTGAAGTTTGAAATTATCTCAATTAAATAATCAAATGAAAATGTTTTAAGCTTTTTACTGCATGCATCAGCAGTTTTTGCTTTAAGAAACTACATATAAATTGTTTAAGCAGGGATTGGACAGTAACTGTATCCCTTATTTCTGTGTGAAAGTGATGACTCTCTCTCACCAGTTAAATGATGTTCTACATTGAACTTTTACTTGTACGTTTGTTACTGCATTACTTGTTTCAGAATCATCCCGTCTGAGTTGTATTGAGTCTAACTATATTATAACAAATATTATCTGTGCTTTTAAAAAGATGCAGCTATAACATGACATACTAAATGGTATACCGGTATACCTCATAACAATGTCATGTTATAGCAAGCGAGGAATTAATGTAGGCTAGATTAGTAATAGATTGACCTCTACCCACCATGAAGGGCACCTGGTAACTCTCTTGGTGATAACACCTCATCAACAACAAACTGTGATACATCTGTTTTGTTCAGCAGGTCATCCCGGGCAACGGGAATCAGAAATTCAAAACTCATGGTTGCTGAAAATGATATGGTATATACTGGATTAATATCAAATCCTGGATTCTCAAAAAGAAGCACTCAAATATCTTAGACTTTAAAATCACTGGTAGAAATAGTTCAAAGAATTGATGAATATGATATAACATATTAGTAGCTACAGTGTACATAGGTTATATAAAAATAGCACATTGACCAGTAATAGTGTATTGTCTGCTGATAGTCATATATATATATGTACGTAGCGAAACTAGACTGGTTCGATAGTCGACGACCAGGTAGCTCAATTGTTAGAACGCCAGTCTAGAGTTCGGAAGGTCGCGGGTTCAAACTCCAGTCTGGCCCTTACATTCTGTCTTTCTCCGGATCCTGTTACATGTATATAATATCAGTTCATGACTAACAAACTAAATTACCTTCCATGCTGTATGATCACTTTCGTAGCGTAATATCATGATTGCCACACTTTACATTTAAAATTGAATCAAAGAGTCAGGGGCACAAAATTTAGACATACGAAGCTGAGCATCCACTTAGATACAACATGCCCTCGATGCTCCCTCCCCTCTTTCCTTTCTCCTCCTGAATTTTTATTTTTCAAAACACTGCAACTTAAACATACAGAACTCTACTTAACAGTTGTAAGAATAATACAAGGTACTCCAATATAGCTTTACCTTTAAAAACACTGTTAAATGGAATACGGATTGCCTCCCTTTGCCCAAAATCCAATCACCATAATGCAAAAACAAAGCGCTTCAAATCCATAACTGGACAGACACATATATCAAAAGGATCACTCAAGCTCCCCTTTTCCAAGTTACACGGTATTTAATTTGAACAAAGTGATCACACCTAGACAATTGTTTTAGAAATCAAATGATAAATTTCCTTGCCATTCAAATAATGTACTAAACAATTCCAACGTAATTGTGGGGAATCAAAACGGTATTCTCAACAGATTGTGTTTTGGGGTGTTGTAGGATAGGCTTACACTTACTACCGATGTACACAAGAACTGTAACGTGCCCTACTGGCAGTGCTCTACTTAGTACTTCCTATAACACTAACAGGAACTGGTTGCAGAATACTGCAGTAGCTTCAGTAAAACTTGCACCCATAAGCCGACTACGGACACGTTGAACATTACGCATATATCAATATTTTTCTATAAAAACTGATACACGAATCACCATGTCCTTACCCGTGATTAAAAAAACATCAACACAATTTTTCTTCCACAGATCGTTCGAAGTTTCCGCCTTTTATCTTGTACCCAATCAAATCAAAGAATATCAAACTGCCCGTCTCTTTATTTAAATTTTTATTTTGAAAAGAAAACTTTTCTTTGTAAAATCAAGCAATGCAAATGCAAAGGAATTATTTTAGCAAGAAACAACGCATTCAAAATGTTTATTTTAAATCATGCATATTTTTATTATCTAGTCATTTACCGTTAGTTACTTCAGCGCGACAAAACCGGAAGTTGTCCATTAATCTTAAACTTTATGTTTTTTTACCGCGTGTGAATCAAGCATGCAGCTTGATTTTAGGATTTTACTTGTGATTTTTATTTTAATTTTTTTCCTTATTTATATTTTATCATATTTTAGCGTAATTACGATTTTAATCGCCATTTGTTTAAGTATTTTACTCCCCATAATCTTCGGTTGGTCAACCGGTGAACGTTGTGCAACGAAACTGAAGTTACCGGCAAAGGCAAATTCAGAAGTGTCATTGTCAAGAAAAGGGAAAAAGAAGAGCTTGTCGCCACATTCACGTTCAAGGAGTACATATCATAAATACACACACAATATTTCTTCTGATGAAAATATGCATAGAAATGGATTTTCAAACTCGTCCTTTAATGATAAAAAGTTTGACAGATCGTTCGATAAATGGCGGTCTCCTGTAAATTCACCCGGTATGCGTTCTCCCGCAATACGTGTGGCATCGCCTGTAGCCGGATTTGGATTAAGAACTCGAAAACCAAGTCAGCTCGTTGCAAGAAGACATTCGTTTTCAGTGAAAGCTTCTTTAGACACTTCAACAAGTGAAAGTAATTCAAGAATACCCTTTCTTCCAACCATCAAAAGAGCATTGGGACTGGAGACTATAGTCAGTCCCAGGTAAGATGACACAAGTGTAGCCTGCTTTCATCGGCAACTTATCTATGTAGGCAACCTTAAATGGTAGAATGGAATATATGTCTATAGATCTTAATATATGAATTATCTGTAATATATTTAAAGTTGTGTAGAGTCTGAGGTTTCCCAACGAATGGTTTTTGGTTATCATGTTTATCTAACTCATGTAAGTTAATCTTCAAATTGTATAAAGACACCAGGTTTACCGAGTGTCTTTGACAATATGAAAATTAACTAACGAGAGTTAGATAAACGTGATAACTATTCATCATGAGCTAGGGGACCTGTGTCTCCCATAATGTTCGTATTTTACCACATTTTTCCCTTCAAAAATACTTACTTATGTGTGTTTCCGATGGGAAAAAAATCGCCATGGAGCATGACATCACTTTGGAAAATAATGTTGAAATGTATTGCAATATGACGTCATAAATCAAAGATTGACCAATGAAATCACGTTCAGGGTGTTACCCAATATAGGGGGGAGCCAAAAATGATTACCAACTCCTAGCAGGTTTATCCAATGAGTCTTGATCATGAGTGAGGAAACTACAGTGGTTGTGGGATACAGGTGTGGCACAATTTAATTGTACAAAGAATTATGGACGCCTTCTATCTATATCTTTATGTTATACTCCATTGAGACCAGAACAGAATGGCTTTGCACTAAAAGAAATTTCCTTTTAGCTCATTAAGTAGAGCAGCAGACTGCAAAGATGGGGGTCGCTGGTTCAGTCCCGAGGGGAAGTCTAACTCTTTTTCCTGTTTCAAATGGTGTTTGTGGCCTTATTCTTCTCCTCCAATAATCTGTATACCACCTCTGGTGTATTAATGTCGCAGATTTCCTTTGGTGACAGGGAGTTAGAACCATGGGTTGTTTTGGTGTTGAAGGCTAATACATTTACAAAGGTGGAGAGCTGCATGGCAATTTCAATTGTACATTCAACCTTTACACTAAAGGGAATTTCCTTTTTTTGTAAGATCGTTTGGATTGTGAAGCCCGGGATGGCTGGTTTGTTGTGTTTAATTTAAGGGCACACTATCCTCTTTTCTTGCTATGATCATGGTATAATATCTGTTTAACTGTTTACTTTATATAGTGGAACAGTGGCACCAAACTTTTTATTGATGCTTAAATACACTAAACAGATATGTTTCCCCCTAAACATGGAGAGTTTGTGCTTTGATTGATCTATTGCAAGGACTAATAGTTGACTGTTATCAGCTGTCCTTGTGGCCAAATCCGATAAGTTTTGCAAACAAAGTGGTGTCAGAGCACAAGTCTAGCTCTGGACGTTTGAGTGTAAGAACTGGGATGACCAGTGAAGGAGGGGTCATCCTCTTATCTTGCTCTCCATAGCTTTTACTGTTATTTTATTGTTCTATGTAGGTTAGAATACCAGAGTTTTACACTATAGCAAGCACAAGTCCTCTAGTCCAAGCATGTCAAACTTAAGATTTTATGAATATTCCTCTTGGAAAACTGCTTAAATTACAGATAAATTGTCTAACTTTTCTTAAAGCTTTACTATATCAGATAATCTCTATGTAGTTTTACGTTCATTACATTTACAGTCAATTTAATAACTTATGTTTCGTGCCTCAGATGTTTCCTATGGAAATCTTGGACTAGGAAATAATATTTTCAACTAGGACTACTAAGTAAAATTACTTAGTGTCTGACCCTTAATATCCATTGTCATTGAGTGATTAATTAAAAGGGGGCTTTAATTTGCAATAAATGAATAATTGCACGAATTCTGTCTACACCAAATGTCAACAATGGACCACAGCCACAAGATTGTCCTGATATACAAATTTGCTTGCTTTAATTGATGGTAACAATATTTTTCTTATATTTATTTTCTTTGTGCAGGTACACTAGTAAAGATGATTATAGCAACTATACAAGTTACCCTGAGGCTGCCTCCCCAGGATTTGTCCCTGCAGTTCGACTATCCCAGCACGACCGTCATCCACTCTCCAAAGTGCGATCCTCAGCTGTACGAAGTCCAAATACTATAAAAATAGCCCCTCCAGATCCTCACAAACTTGGCAGTCCAAGGTGGGTTTTTGCTGTCTTTTCCAGATACAGTCATCAAGAGTGTACAAATCCATTAGTCTGATACCGTAGCCATAGGCTAGTAGACTTTGTGTCAGGAATTGTGAACATATTTATTATTTACTATGAAACTAGGTTTGGCTGCTACAATTTTTGAAATTTCCCTTTTGTTTCGTATGCTCAAAGTATGAAATTTAAACCCCATGTGCTGTGTGTTTTCTTTTTCTAAGTGTAAATTACAACACCTTCAGGGGGGAAATGACTGAAAAAATTCACAACGATTTTTATGCAGTCTTTTCGCTGCTGTATTCTGCTAGAAATTACTGAGGTACTAGGTTTGTTATTACATCCTACTACACAGATTGTAATAAAGCTGTAAGATGCCACTACTACACAGATTGTGATATAGCTGTAAGATGCCACTATTACATCCTACGACACAGATTGTGATAAAGCTGTAAGATGCCACTACTACATATGTAGGATTTGTCAGTGTTTTCGCTTGTCTTTTACAAAAGCTGGGTCCCCAGCAGATGTTGAAATCTTTGAAGTTTCCTGCAATAAAATTTGATGAGTTGTTGGATCTCTTTAAAAAAAGTTCCTCCCACCCCTTCCATATGTTTATTTCTGGAAGAGCCCCAAGACGTAATAGGCAGAGAACCTAACCATGGATTGAAGTGAATTATTTTGGAGCTTTCATTGGGCAGTGATTTTTTTGCCTGGCTTTACAGCCGAATACTGACTACTTTCCCCGACTAAAAAGTGCTTTATTACCCCAAAATGGGGAGAAAATCAGGATTATCCACCCAATTTCATAAAAAAAATGCTATATTTTCCCAATTGATGTAGGAACAGGCTGTTGTGAAATTTTGGTTGAAAAGGTTACTGTTGGAATAGCCCTGACTGTTGATATGTAATTCTGCTGAATATTCACTTGACAGGATGTTGGAGAAGAGGAGGAAAGATCCTGGGACAGATGACACCAGGAAAACACCAGACATGCAATCTGTTCTTACCGCACTAAAGGAGAAAAGGTATTGTAAAATACACCTTGTTTTAATGTGCCAGAATATATGGGTCAGGGTCACAATAACATTGATGTCAATACATGAATGGCATTACTGTGTGGTTGCTGTAATTCTACTTCCTGCTACCAAGTATACAGGTTTTCATTGTGTGTTCGTCTTCTTTTTTCAACCCTCTTTTCACCTGAATTTCATGAAATTCGATTGATTGCCCTTTGACACTGATCAATAAAATCCATGACAATTAAAAACTATGAAGTCAAGGATCACAGTGTTGTTAATAAATACAGCATGCAACACAGAAATCTGAACACTTCAGCTGGTTAGGTGATTTACACGATAAACACACTAGTGGACTAGTAAAGAACAGTAGAAAAACTAGAATAGAATCGGGAACACATACAGCACTTGCAGAGTTCACCATACCAGTCAACAAAACACTGTAATTTTCTTCTTTAAGACATCCTACACACTATCATCACTTGATATAACTGTACATTGCAGTTGATTTCTGCTATTTTTATGGGGAGGGGAGATCATTATGTAAGTTTTATCATTTTTATGGGGAGGGGAGATCATTATATAAGTTTTATTATTTTTATGGGGAGGGGAGATCATTATGTAAGTTTTATTATTTTTGTTCAGGAGAAAAAGAACTGCTGGCCCATCAGAAGATACCTACTGCACTGAAGTACCAACCCAGAAATCAAAGAGGAGGTAAATACTGAATTGATTAGGAAGGGCTCGGACCCTAATCACTTTGACATTTACAGTGGGATAAAGCCATTTCCTCTAAATTTGATTGAAATAAAGCTCTATCATCTTTTCAAATGTTTGGATCTATGTTTACTTCATTATTAGTTTTCTATAGAGTTTGATTATAAAATGTAATTATTAAGTTTTTGTGCAGGTGATTTTGAAGTGATATAAACCTGAAAAATTAACATTGACCAAAGCAAAGCCGACGTGTTCTTATCACATCAATTTGACCTTCCAAAAACCCTAAACAATTATATGCTTCTGCAATAAGATTGGAAAAAAACCTTCCAGGTCTTTGACAGTTTTCTGTCATATTTTGTGCGGGGTCCTACAGCTCTGCCGGGTAGAATGAAGAAATTTTTTTGCTATAGAAAAATATCTCACATCGTTTTTGATATGAGTGTATTGGAACAAAATATGACTTTCTTTAGACCAGGTTTGAATAGCATTTATATTTCGTAAAATGTTAAAAATGAAGATATTTGGTTTGGTTTAATATTGTTTAACGTCCTTTCAAAAGCTATGGTCATTTAAGGACGGGAGATATTTGTGAATGAGATTTAAAGAAATGATGAGATTAAAAGGTTGGTTTTTATAGATAATTCCTTCAAATGAGGAATTTAATAAAAGTTTGATTTGTTCTGTAAAGTAGTTTAATATAATGCAAGAATTCTTCTGTTCTGCAGACGACAGGAAAGTCAGCAGTCCAATGCGTCCACCTCCTCGTTACCTCCCCTGCCTGCTTCCCTGCCAGACCTTTCTGTATCTGATTACACTATACCACGTCTAGAGACACCCTCCCTGAAACGGGCAGCAGCTCCCGAGGTGTCAGAGTGGGAGGGGCATGCAAGTAATGCCAAACGACTGCGACAGGAGGGGCGATACAACTCGATTTCAAGTTCTCTGAGCTCCAGTCGTTACCTGGAAAGATCCAACCGCAGCTACAGCCCCAGACCAGATTGGTCCCAGGTAAACATTTGTGTGACATTTGTATCTGATATAACATAATCAAAGAAAAGTCATTTATCAGGATACTGAGACCATCCATAGGTCTCTGGATTATAAATCGAAATATTTTTAGAGCAAGTTGAATATTCAGAATCCAAAATTTAGTCCATTCATTTCTTGGTTATTATTGTACTATTGTCTCCTTGAATAAAATAAATATATTTTCAGTACCCTAAAGATTTTTTATGTTAAATACATGTATATATATGTCTACAGTGTAATATTTTCAAGAAAAAGACCAATTTAAAACATCTGTCAGGTTAACTATTAGATCTGAATAGTCATACACTCCTGCTGAGAATTTCTACCATGACTCCAGCATCTTAAAAACTGATTCCTATGCTATTAATGTTTTTTTGTAGACCAGATTTATACCAGATTTTACATCCATGTATCTGTTATAAGAAAATGAAAAAAATGGGTAAAACCTATTTCTATATGATTTATTTCTGTGGTTGCTTGAAGGAATCTACAGCCGAATTAAAACGAGCTATCCAAAGGGAAATCAACAAAATAACCCAGGAAATGCCCAGTGATTTAGTCACTAGTCTACGTGTAAGGGTATCTCTGGTGACACCATCAAACCTATAGCAATACTAACATACACTGCTACTGTGTGAACGACCTAGGGAATCTATTACCTGTAACATAGACTGCTACTGTGTGAACGACCTAGTGAATCTATTACCTGTAACATAGACTGCTACTGTGTGAACGACCTAGTGAATCTATTGCCTAATCATGATTGCTACTGTGTGAACGACCTAGGGAATCTATTACCTGTAACATACACTGCTACTGTGTGAACGACCTAGGGAATCTATTGCCTAATCATGTTGCTACTAACTTATCTCAGAGGAGTGATATGCTGTAAGAAATCCCAATAAGAAAATGTATCACGCTCTACCCAGTAGCATTTCTACATTACTTCTACATGTTAACCCTGTGGCTGATGGTGCCCCTATAAAATAATAGCCTAAACAATGCAGTGGATCATATCTACTTAAGAGATATGACATTGTGTGCCTTTTAGCCTTTTAAAAGCCTTGAAATAATACTGACCTAGATTGAGTGTTACAGGAAATCAGCTCCAAATTGAGATAATTTAGTGAAGATCAAAAAACAAACATAAATTTTGTTATTTTTCTTGCATCTCTGTAGTGCAAGAGTTTTCATTAACTTTGAAGACAGTTTGTAGTCAAAATGAATACCCTTATGTGGGCCTCTACATTCAATAGAACTAACAACTGTAGTGGCATATAGGGCTGCAACGATATATCACGATACTTTAAATACGGTAAAATACACAATATTTTTTGGGTAGCATAATACACCCAAGATATTTCCTGATTTTGTGGTTTCTGAATTTAGTCTACTCATATTCGTTCCCATGGCGAGTGACAGCTCCAGTTTGGCATGCACGTCGAAAGACGAAAATTGTGTGTGAAACTTTTAAGTCATGCCAAGTCTATTTCCTGTTGTAATATTGACATTAAAAAAATCCAATATCTTTTCGCCTTGCTGCTACTGTTACTATATGTAGCGTGATATCGTTATGTTAATGTATGGATGCAGCCCTAGTGGCATATAACAAGATAGTGAAACAATTTTTCTGTTGCGGACAGTGGAAAAACTTTGCTTTCACAGACACTGGACACATTTTCTTTCTACTTAAATATGTGAAATATGGTGCACAATGTCATGTAGAGATAGCAGACTAACAGATCAATTCTTGAAAAACTCTAGCAACGAGTTACAAGTAGGTTCATGGTATCTCCTGTGTTGGGATGTGAGAATTAGTGGTCTGTGATAGGAGAATTGTCTCCCCTTCTACCTGGTGTTGATTCTTCTGTCACACTCGAGAATGTGATTCCTAGGTCACTGGACAGAATTGAAACCGAACAGAAATGCCAGGGGTAACTATAATTCACAATCAGTTTTCTATGGGAAAGAAGTTGATTTTGTAAATCAGGAAGGAAAACTAATAAGAACGCTTTGAAATAAACCATGTACAGTGCTAAAAGCTGCTATGTAAATATGTTATACTAGCAAAACCACCGATAAGTAAATACATTTGTACAAGCTGCTGTAAAAACACATCACTAAATGCTTACTGCCTAAATACCCTGTTCAGCAAAAATTGGGATATCTACCCCAACCCCAGTGGCCAGGGTGGGGCCCCAAAGGGAAAATTTTCCAATATTTTAAAAAATCTTCTTCTCCAGACTCAGAGGTACTACAGTCAATTTCTCTGCATAGATGGAAAGATCATCAGAGGCTTTATTTAAATTGTAATTTTCAGTACCCACCATTCTCCATTGGGGAGGGGCTAAAGTTAACTATAATTTATATTAGGGAAATGAAACTTTTGGGTATATTTTGTTCATTTTCAGCAGGAATTTATTCTTATTTGGTGAGAATCATCATTTGAGGAAGATGGTATCAAATTGTAAAATTTGGATTCCTATCCCAACCCCCAGGGGCCAGGGAGGGGCCCCAAAGGGAAAATTAACCAATATTTCAAAAGTCTTCTTCTTCAGACTCAGATGTAGTACAATCAAATTCTGTGCATGGATGAAAATTCCGTCAGGGGCTTTATGTATTTTTCAATTTAATAACCCCGGGCCATCCATTCTAGCTTGCAGAGGGTGAAAAGTTGCATTAGTTTATATAGGGAAATAACACTTTCGGGTGGGGCCCAAATGGGGAGCATGGTTAAAAGTTAAAATAAATCTTCTTCATCAGACTCCGATGTTTTACTGTTCATGGATAGAAAGATCCTTACCTAAATTATCATTACCGAATTAAATTGAGCTACTTGTACCTATAATATAACTCAGGTGACTGCTAAGGCCCTTGGGCCTCTTGTGTTTGAAACTGTTTTCATAAAAGTTAAGTCAGTGTAGCATATTATGCACTATTTGAAAATTATTTTATCCACTTGTAAGAAAGATTCTAAAAGGAATCATTTGGGAAACTTTAAGTTAGGTTTGTTTTAGTCAATCAAAAAAGATGGCAATTAGTTAATTTCATTTTTTTTTTTTTTTAAACCTAACATTTGATAAATGCTAGGATAAATTTAATTGAAATAAAATTTGATGACATTAAGGATGAAAGGTATCATAGATTACTTACAACTTGTTAGACTGGTGTTTGACTGTCTTTGCTAGATATCTGTGATACAGCTACACAAATCAATTATTAGTCCCAACCAGTGAAACTTGGGGGACTATAGGTTTCCTCTCCATCCGTCTATGTACGTACGTAACACCCATGTTTGTCAGCGCTCTAGCGGCTTCATTCCTTGAGGGATTTGGATCAAACTTCACACAAATACAAAGGACCATAATATCTCAGACAAGTTCGAATTTCAGGGTTGTTAGGTCAAGGTCACCATTACTATTTTTAGAAAATCCTTGTCAGCGCTCTAGCAGCTTCATTCCTTGAGAGATTTGGATCAAACTTCATACAATTACAAAGGACCATAATATCTTGGGACAAGTTTGAGTTTCAGGGTTGTCGGGTCAAGGTCACTGTTACTTTTTTTAGAAAATCCTTGTCAGCACTCTAGCAGCTTCATTTCTTGAGGGATTTTGATCAAACTTCACACAATTACAAAGGACCATAATATCTCGGACAAGTTCGAGTTTCAGGGTCAAGGTCAAGGTCACCATTACTATTTTTAGAAAATCCTTGTCAGCGCTCTAGCCGCTTCATTCCTTGAGGGATTTGGATCAAACTTCACACAAACACAAAGGACCATAATATCTCAGACAAGTTTGAGTTTCAGGGTTGTCAGGTCAAGGTCAACGTTACTATTTTTAGAAAACCCTGGTTTTATATATGGTTTTATATATTTCTCTGTCATTATACTTACATTTACAATTTCTTGCATTATTATTACATTAAAATCAGTTAGAAGCTAATCGTATACTTTACATTTTCCCCAAATTAACACCAAATGGCACTACTTTTATAAATCATTACAGTGTAATAACTAGCGGGGGCCGGTAGGGGACATGTTTTGCTTAAGCAATACTCACTATGCTTGTTATAATTAATAATTTATCTGGCAATAAGCCCACCCACATCTATTGAAGTTCAGTAAAATTTCGACAAATGATTTTTCATTGTTCTTCAGTAAGATATCCCCCTACTTTGAGTCAAAAATGTGTTAACTTCCCACCCTGCCCTGCCCTGCCCTGCCCTGCCCTGCCCCAAAACCCCCA